CCGACAACAGGCGAGATTTTGTAGTGTCAAGCTCAACACGGAGTGTAATGTTATGTTCTGAAAGCTGTGAGTTTTTCTCCTCTACCTCCTGGACTACAGAGGTCAAATTGTTACGTCAGTAAAATTTCGAGTTACGATTCACAGAGCCATTAGAGTCATAATTTTCATACATACGTCGAGATTTGTACAGTTCTATTGCCTCCTTGAGGCCGGCACTCTGGTTCGTTGTACCTTGAAATCGATTCAAGAGCAGATCACACATAGCATTCATTTTTTCCATTTTGGCGTCCTGGTCCCATGCTTCGACTGAAGAGCCGCGAGTTAGAAATTGTTTTACTTTTGGAGGGGATTTCCTAGGAGACTTTTTCAAGGGTCGAAGAATGATAGGTGAAGGGGTTACGGGGCAATTAGGTCTCCTGACAGGGGATTTGGGCACACGAATATCGGGGCCAGACATCTCTTGGGCTTCATCCCTAGGCGATAGGGCAACGGATGATGAATGGGGATTTAGGGTTAGGCCTTTCATTGCGGTGCTCAATGACACATCCCGTACAGGCTCGCGTGGTGGGTAAGAAATTGACTGCGCAGCAAAAGAGCTCGACCAATCTGAAGTATAATTCATGTGGTTGTCATAGCTTCCTCTCCTTGCAGCCGGGCCAGCATTCAATTGAAGTGAAAATGAGGAGCGTGCTAAAGAAAATGCATTCATACCCTTTCGTTTCCCTAAAACGGAGTCATGGAGATCGTCATCTCGAGTGCTCATTGAGGTTATCGGACGTGGGGAAGAGGCCCCATGTGAGCACCTGTATCCGAAAGAAGTCTGGGGCCGGGCGATGTTTCGAGTGGAGGACCTTGTTCGCGAACTGGGGCCATTGGAAGAAGACTTTGGGTTATATGGATTATTTCGCGAAGCGGCAGATGCAGGACGGGAAGATGTTGACGTCGAGGCGGAATATAAGGGCTTAGAACTCATAGATTTCGAGGCAGAATGGCCAAAGCGGTTTTGTTTTCTGGTTTCCCCGCCCCTTTCAGCCAACGTTTTTCTAGCCGGGGCGGCCGGTTGTGTTGCTGTTCGGCGGAACTGTTAGACATATTTCTAGCCGCAATCCCCATGCGGTCCCACCTCTTGCTAGTACCTACTGATTGATTCGACATGTTTTCGGCTAGTAGTGCCTAGTGGAGGCATCATGGTGCCAGCCGCGCTGTTGTTCGCGGACACGGTGATATCATGAAGACTCCTCCCATTGGGGTTGGCTCGATTTAGGCGAGGGATACCCGAAGAGAACTACAAATGCGGTCAGTAATTTCACCACCCCGTGTCATTTCAGGAAAATATCAGGAAATTGTAACGCACTCGATGAGCGTTTTCGTCACCGTCCATTATGGACTGGATGTCGGGAACAGCAGCAGCAGCAGCAGAATAAAGGATAGCCTGAGGATAATAAAGATCCGCGATCAAGGGAGGCCAATTCAAGAGCACTCCATCAAATTGGGAGTTTCTGCAGTGACAGCAAAGGAGGGACACGCAGGGGTGAGACAACAAACACAGTCTGCCCCAGGGGCGGAATGTCAGGCTGAAATAACTATGTATGTATGTGGATGAGAGAAGATGAAGACAAGAATTGATATGAGAATGTTTGTCCGGCGCATGTCCGTTACCGGGCCAACCACGTCAATAACACTGGGTCGCAACGGGGAAACGTGCAAACAGTACAAACAGGCTGTCTCGTCACGTGAGTTGTTTCGTTTATCTGGATGGACAGATTACCCCTCCTGATCGATTGGATCAGCTGGAGTTAAGATATCTTTCTCGTATGAAGAGGGACAGATGCAGAATCAATTAACAAATAGGCAATAGGATTTCGATCGTTCCATTCGTAATTCTTTGCTGTGTTGCCTGGCAGTCAAGCCGCTTTTAACTCCTGATATCCGTGCTGACTACGCAACCTTCCGCTCACCCCTGGCGCCGCAGCAGCATCATCAATCATCACAAGAAAACCCCTACATGACCCCTCCAATTTCCCCCCCTATCTCTCTTCCACCTTGACCGCTCGTCCCAGATCGTATACACTTCCACTTGAACCTATCCTGCCAAATTCCGCATTCCAGTTCTTTTCGCCATGGCGGGTCGTTTCGTTCGCTCATCAAAGTATCGTGCGTGGTGCTCTCCTGACCTCAGCATCTCCCTATCCCCTGTCCTCCTACATTACCCCCGACTGACTGCATGATATCCCGTCATAGGCCACGTCTTCGGACGCTCAACAAGAAAGGTATGTCGTGCTATTCTGTATTACTTACGCTGTTTGGCTTGGGCTTACACTTCGAATTGGGATTTTTAGGAACAATGTTATGACAATCTTCATATTTCCAAAAATGCCTGGGATACCAACTTGGTCAAGGTCCGTTCTCCAGGCTCCCATGACTTCCAAAACATCCGGGAAATAATAAACCGCACAATTGGAACTTGTTCTGATATCTGCCCAGGCCAATCCTAAATACATATCTGTCAACTGGGAAACTTCAGGAGGTGGCGCCTTCGCCGTGCTGCCCATCGATGAGACGGGCAAAGCACCAGACCGATTCCCACTCTTCCGTGGTCATACTGCCGTCGTATTAGATACAGACTGGTGAGCCAATCCCTTGATTATGCCCCCCACGATCAAATAATAACGGTCGAATTTGCTAGGAACCCTTTTAACGACTCTTTGATCGCATCTGGTTCGGATGATGGCAAGGTATTGTGCCCCCGCCCCCCTCTCACCCGCCTACTTCAAACGACTATCATGTTACACCAACAAACCTACAACTGGACCATCGGCTGAATATAGACAGGTCTTCCTTTGGAGAGTACCCGAAAATTTTACTCTGCACGTCGATGCCGAAGAAATTGCTGATATCGGCCCTGTTGGGAAATTGAGTGGTCATCCAAGGTTCGTATACATTCCCTTGCCGTCTCGCTGGTATCCTCGAATATAAGCACTAGGAACCCGGATCAGTCACTGACTGGTTATTTCGTTTTGTTTCCAGGAAGGTTGGACACGTCCTTTTCAATCCCGCCTCCGAGAACGTCTTGGCATCCTCGTCCGGTGACTACACCGTGAAAATCTGGGATATCGAATCCGGATCATCGAAACTCACACTAAAACATGCGGAAGTTATTCAATCGCTGTCTTGGAGCGCAAATGGCTCCATGTTAGTTACAACGTCGCGGGACAAAAAGCTTCGATTTTGGGACGTCCGCCAGGAGAGGCCGGCCCACGAAACAGCTGGCCATTCTGGTGCAAAGAACAGTCGTGCTGTATGGATGGGTGAACATGACCGCGTCGCCACTACTGGGTTTTCGAGAATGAGCGATCGCCAGCTAGCCCTGTGGGACATCCGTGCCCCGCGTGAACCCATCAATGGATTCAAGTCCCTCGACTCCATCTCAGGCGTTTGCATGCCATTTTGGGACGATGGCACCCAGTGTTTATATTTGGCTGGAAAGGGGTGAGTAACAGCACCGTCCACGATTGTGGCTGCTTCTTTTTTCCTTTTTTTTTTTTTTTTTTTTTTTTTTTTTTTTTTGAGCTAACATTACCACAGTGATGGTAATATCCGTTACTTCGAGTACGAGAATGACAAATTCGAATATCTGTCGGAATATAAATCAGCAGATCCGCAGCGTGGTATCGCCTTCATGCCGAAGCGTGGTGTCAACATGCATGACAATGAGGTGGTTAGGGCACTCAAGACGGTTAACGACACTTACATTGAACCTATTTCATTTATTGTTCCCCGAAGGGCCGAAATGTTCCAAGGCGACATTTATCCACCCACTACTGGCCTCAAACCAGCCATGTCAGCAGCCGAATGGTTTGATGGCAAGGAGGCCCTCCCCCCAAAGATTGACCTGGGTAGTTTATATGGTGGAGAGGGACTTAAAGAAGTTGCTCCACAAGCGGCCCCCACCCCCGCCCAGAAACCCAGCTCTCCTGTTAAAGAAGCCGAACCCGCCCCAAAGGAGCCGGAACCCAGCAAACATGTTGCTATTTCCTTCAGGGCCAACCCTCCCCCGTCCGTAAAGGAGCAGGGTTCGTCTATTGCAGCCATGGCTTCAAAGTACGCAGATGGCGAAGAAGATGACAATGAAGCCGATGATAGCTCGAGTTTTGAAGAGGTCCAAAAGCCAGCAAACAGTCGCCCGCCTGCTATCATATTTTCTCCACCAGAAGCTAGCGAGCCAGCTCCACCGCCGAAAGTAGCGCCGAAGGCAGAATCCCCTCCAACAACCTCCCCAACTGAGAAGGTATGTCACACTTCTCCCACTTGTAGTTTTGGTAATACAGTGTTGAATATTTACAATTAACCCTCCGCCACAGTCTTCTCCAACAACCCGGACCGCGGATATTTCCGCTAGCGTGCAGGATGTAGTCCAGCGTGAGCTATCATTGATAAGAAGCTTGATTACAGAGCAAGGCCGAACAATTGCTGCTCAGACGCGGCAGATTGAGTTTTTGACGAATGAAATTGAAGATCTCAAGGTGAAGTTAGCCTAGCCGATGACTCTGTTTCTATCTACGGGATACCGAGCGTCTCCGCCAAGCCAACTATATACCACCTTTGGAATATATACCCTGGATAGTTCTGATCTTCCCAACCCCGTCGTGTCCAGGTTTATCCGTCAAGACGAGAATTGCCTTTGTTGCGTTCTGTTACGATAAACGTTGTCTTCCCCCCTGCCAGTTTCGTATTCCCCTACCTCTTACCTATGCCTTTTTCATGAGGTTCATCATCGTCTATTAAATAACGTTGTTTGTACAGTTGATTCCTATTTTCTCCTTTATTTAGCTTACACTAGCGCTTTGTGTTTCCTTCAGCAGATAGTTGTCAACGACGGAAGTCGAATTTCAAGGATTGACGTGTCCCTACTTACTTGCTAGCCTTTTTATTTACACAATGTGTTTTTTTCCCTCCATTTTCGAAATTTTTGAGCTGAAAAATGCTTCTATACCACCCGTGCGGTTTCTGCGCGAAAGTACTAGAGTTGTGCACCTCAAAAAAACTACCAGACAATAATGAATTTGTGACCCATTTTAACAAGAGCTTAAACTCCTGATCTATTTCTAGTCAAATTCCAACAGCAGAAATTCTTACATGTATAGAACATATCAATACAATCACAATCATATATACATCGCATAATATATAGATAGTGAACACGCAAAAAAAAGAGAGAGAGAGATATATATATATATATATATATATAGAATACCAACCCGCCAAACTCCAACTGTAAAAAAATATAAATATAAATAAATCACCCACGCCACGACTCCAACACACCATCAATCCTCTCCCGCACCCTCAGCACAGCCTCAGGATCCCTCGCCGCCGAAAGCACAAGATGTTCATCCGAAGTATACGTGCGGCTGACATACCCCCAAAGCGTGGACTGGGCCACATGCCTCGAAAAGTTCGCGATAGCCTCCCCGTTCTTCTCCGACACGAGCCGCTGCAGCTGCGTCTTATCGGCCGCTGGCATGCGCGGGTACTCGTGCGCCCACTTCTTCCAGATCGTGCTGTCGAGGGCCGCGGTGAGTTTTGCCAGGTCCTGCGCGGCTTGTGAGGCGATTTCGTGTGGCACGTAGATGCCTGGTTGCGCTGGGTTGGGGGGTTTGCGCTGGAGTTATTATTGTTAATTTAATTTAATTCGCTTTTGGCAAAAATGGGGAAACATAAAAAATGACTGGGGGAAGAGCTTACATGCTGCTGCACGAATATCGTCCTCCTGTCGTTGGCTGTACGCATCAATCTGCGGCACTGGCGAAGCATAAATTTATTCCCAGGAGGCACAAAGACATATCCCCTGGGCAGCTTTCCATCAACGAGAATCTGTCCGCAGCAGAAATAATCAGACCAGGTACTTAGAATGTAATGTACATGTACATGTACATGTACCTATGTATATACGTATGTATAGTTTACACGCGTGTGTTCTAAGAGTCGCAAACGCCACTTCACCAGTCAATTCAAGGCACACATACCGTTTCCCCATGTCTATTTAGATTGCGCGTAGCACTGGGCGCCTGTTTGGATGGAGTCGACGAATAGCTCCTGGCAATTATCTGCCAGCTGAATGTGCGTGTGAGAGGTCTCCAAAGGAATGATGATAATAATACATCATGCCCTGAGGCTCGTGAGCAGCAAATTCTTCCCTCTCGGATGCTGCTGCTCCTGCTCCTGCTGCAGTTGGAGATCGAGACTGGAGTCCTAATAGCAGGCCTCAACGACGACCACGATCGAAGAAATAAGAGGCTCATATTCCGCCGGCGATAGAATGGTCATCGGAGGATGAGGTTTTCCCAGCCCCTACTAACTAACGACACCCAAACCGCTTGATGGTGGTTAGTCACTGAACCCTTTTTTTTTTCATTATTGATGAACGAAAGTCTAGGGATAATTGGGATATCACGTGATTTCAGATAACCAAGACTAATTCTAATTACATATATGCGCAATATTTTCCAGGAACTATTGTAGTAGTATCAGACGTTTACATTGTGTGTATAACTGGTGTCTAGTGCGGAACAAGTCATCAACTAGCTGCTATTCGTTGGCGGAGCAGAAAAGTGTGATTGCATGAAGTCAACAACCACAGAGAGATACAAAAAAGTAAAGTCACGAAACTCGATTCCGCGACGAGATCTATGAAAAAGAATTCAGGTATCTCGTATCTATTCAACGCCTTGAAATGCCCCCCCCCCCCCCCCTCTTTTTTTTTTAATCTAACTACCCAGTGTCTACCAATAGGTTTTCGTTCGGCGGACAGAAAAAACCATAGACAAGAAAGAACATATTTCCAGAAGCCAAGGTGTCAAGTACATGAGGCCGTGTGGGTAACAAACTCCACCAACGCCGATAGATTGTATAGATTCACATAAAATCCATGACATGACATGACTAGGGATTGGCCTGCCTGTCTAGAGAATAGGCCGTAAGAGAGAAGAGACAGTCAAAGAGCCTAGAGGGGGAACATAGGAGCATACTTGGGTTTGAGAAACTCAAATAGCCAGGGCCTCGTCGCATTCATACATTCACCTTTAAGCCCATCGTGCAGCTTCTCGTTCAAGCTCGACTCGCGCTGCTCTGGCCTGGTCGCTTTCCTCGTCCTCATACTTGTAGCTGAGATGTCTGCCAACGCCTAACGTTCTCTCCTGCCTACTCTCGCGACGCCGACTACTTCTACCATCCCGATCAGCATTCATCGCCTCTCGCCGCTGCTGTTCTTTTAATAGTCGTTCTCTATCCCGAGCCTCGCGCTCCAGGGTATGCGGGTCTTTCTCCTGGGCTCGCGATTCCCGAGGGTCTGCTGATTTCTTCTCGCGGTCTATGGTCTTTTTTTCGTCTGCCTCGCTACGCTTAATGCGGCGAGAATGTCGGCGATAATGGTCTGGATCGTCTAGGGATGCGGACCTATCGCGGCGGGACCGTTTGCGGTCTCTGTCACGATCCCGCTCTCGTTCGCGTCTTGATTCTCGTTCTCGAGCTCTTTCTTTATCCTTGTCTCTATCCTTATCCTTGTCTCTGTCCTTGTCTCTATCTCTGCCTCTATTCCGATCCCTGTCCCTGTCCCGATCCCGGGCCCGATCTCGATCCCGATGTCGACTAGACCTTTCTCTAGTCGTTGACTCGCTGGTCCGCTCCTTAGTGGAGGAGCGATGGTCACTGCCTCGGATTGCAAGGTCGCGTTTTTCATCTGAAACTGATGGCTTTACCTTAGTGTCAACCCCATTAACTTCACTGGCGCTTGTATCATAGTCGCGATGTTTGGGGCTCGAACTTCGACTGCGGTGGCGGCGCGAGCGATGGGATGAGGACGTTTTATGGTCGCTTTTTCGATCCTTATCACGCCTACTTCGATGTTCCGTTCGCTTTGCAGGCTCCACTGAAGGTGACCGAGATCGCGATTCTCTATTACCCCGACGACTAGACACCTGCTCATCATTTTCTCGCCGGGACTTTCGTCGTTGATCACGACTCTCATCCCTACTGTGATCACTAGATGAGACGCTGAGTGAACGGGATCGATGCCGATACCGGCGACGGTGACTGGAGCGGTGTCGAGACCGGGACCTTGATGTCGACCTATGTCTAGATATGGACTGATCTCGCGACCGAGACGGGGAGCGACTGTAAAAATCTATGTTAGAATTGCTTTCGAGTTAAATCATGAGAGGTGGCTCGTGGCGGAAAGTCATTACCTTTGGACGTCCTTATCATGCTTGAGGGTTGGACCGCTTGCAGTCCGAACAACAGGGAACCCTCTACCATTGCGGATACCAACATTTGGTAGTCCTTCTCTCATAGCTCTGGGCGCAGCCGGTGCTCCGACAACTCCCATCCCCCGTGGTTCCATCGAAGTCATGTTGCTATAAGGGGCGGACAGCTGCGTTGGAGACGAGTGTAGCGTTTCATTCGGATGGGTGGGTGCATTATCGCGGCTTCTCTCTGGCATATTTATATACACTCCGCTTCCCTGCGCATTACCTTGAGCTGCGTTGTCATCATTCCCTTGCTGTGCTACAGCACCTACCTGGATTGTTGTCCCAGACTCGGTGGCTCGATCAACATGAAGCCCATTATCTGTAGGCGCATGAGAATCGCGGTGCTCTCTAGTGGGCAAGGCTGATTCGCTGGAAGCTGCATTTTCGGGCGATACTGCTGCGGGATCGTCCGTCGGCTGGTTCTCCTTAAGGTCATCTTCTCCGCCTGGACATAATTCATCATTAAACTCTTTAACATGATCAGAGTCGGGGGCAATTGCGGAAGTGCCATTAGCAAAGCCAGATACAGGGTCAATTTGGTGGTTGGAATTCGTGGCCATATGGGGTTGGACGGAGGAAGCTTGGTTAGTGGAGGATGGGAAACTACCATGCACCCCAGACATAAATCCGCCTCGTCCACGACCACTAGGGAAAAATCCGCGGCCTCTGCCACGGCCACGACCGTAACTATGGCCAAATTGGCCGTGGAAGTCATTGTTAGGATATTGCTGTTGTTGATGCATGTGAGGATAATTTGCGTAATTTTGGGACATATTATATCCACGATATCCACCAGGACTAGGGCCAAATTCAGCACCCATGCGGTTCGCAAATGGATTTGCATTGAATTTATCTGGACCTCCATTCCACATATTGCTTTGACCATCCCATGTTCCATACATTCCTTGCCCTGCGTTGAAGTTCATCCCCATGTTCATTCCATTATTCATGCCATTCATATTCATCCCATACCCTCCAAACATACCCTGACTCGACACCATCGGATCCAGTCCCATCCCTGGAATTCCAGGAGGTCCTAAAAAGAAGAAAAGAGGATAGTTGTCAGCTAGTGATCGAAACTGAAAGGGGCCTAGAATGTAAGGCGTACCAATTCCATTCTGAAATGGCATCATTCCATTGAATTGAACACCACTGGGCAACGTCTGCATCATCTGGCCATAGTGTGAGCCCCCTTGCCAACCGGCTTGCGGAAAACCACTCATCCCATTCACACCATATCCCTGTCCATTCCCAAAAGTATCTGAACCATGCGAGTGAGTTGGAACTCCGGAGGGTTGTTGTCCCGAAGTCCTATCACCTGAAGATTTATTGGAGTCTGCGTCTGGTTGGGTCGGAACCGACGTTCCTAGAGGGATATTACTTGCATTGTCATCAATCGTGTTATTACCGGGCTCAACCGCGGAATTTCCACGCTTTTGGTACTATGGTATTAGCGACGATTTAATTTGCAATCTTTGAGAAGGAAGTGTCCCAGACTCACCGCTCCATCGTCGACTTGATCTTTTCTGGAGTTGCTGGCAGCGTTGTCTGGTGTTGCCGTTTGAAATGCCGACTCCTCGGTTTTATCCGTTACTCCATTGGTGCCGGCGGCATCCTTTGAATGATTCACATCCTCGACCGCAGCGGAAACGACTTTCGTTGCTGCGGCATCATCTACCTGATCTAAGGAAGTAGTGGCGGGAGGAACCAGATTCGAGTTCACCTGGTCGACTGATTTGTTTGGTTCGGGTTCAGCTGTAGGAGCTTCAGGAGCTGGCGGACGATCCTTCTCTCTTTTTTTTTCCTCGGTTCGCAAGAATGCTTTGAGGGTTGTCCTCAGGGCTTTATTTGGTTTGCATAGATCGGCGGACAGGGGAGTATGGGCGCAGACCGGGCAACTTTCCGGGAGTGAGGCCTGGCCTATGCAAAATAATTAGACACGAGAACAAAGAATAGAAAAAAATCATACATGATTCCCAGTCAACGGGTGCTTACAGTATTCGCATATGGCCTGGTCGCAGCATGGAAGGCGGAAGGCATTTATGGCAAGCTTATTGCAAATCGCACAACGCAGTTTGAAAGGGATCTCATCTTGTGTGAGCGAGCTGCGGCAGGTTCATGTCAGTCTCTCGTTTACGCCTACCAACCAGCAACGGGGCTCAATCTCGAAGGCCACCCACCTTGCAATTTCCATAAGGCCCGACGCCGGATCAAGCATTGCCATGTTCAAAGGTTTGAGGCAAGAGGTGTGCAGCAGACCCGAGCAGGGACAAGCAGGAAGAGAAAAGGCGAGGACAGGATTACGATGGAGTGCTGAGGGGGACCGGATATGTGTCGGAAACCATTCTGAAGCTAAGGATACAAGGCACGCAGCAAAAGCAGCTCCGGGTGTTAGAGTAGTTGGTGGAAATAGACACAGGACACGGGAGACGGGATACTCGACCGTGATTGCTGGTGAGAAGCTGTCTCAGGAGCTGGCGTTGCGACAATCAAGAGCTCATGGCCAAGTGAAGAAGTCCATTAGAGGTTATCCTTGGGGAAAAAAAATTTCCCGAATCAGGCCCGGATTAAATAATTGTCCGGCGCCGGCTTCCACCAAATATTCTACGACAAATGGAGATGGTTTATATTAGGTATTATTATTTTTATTCCTCATGTGAGAGCTGGTTTTTAATGTCATTTCTGATGTACCAAAGCACTTTTCTTTTCTCAGACATTTTATTCTCGTAGCGCATCAGTGTGTTGTGGTGTTTGTATCACGTTGAGCGAGCTTCCAAGCCACAGTCCGTTTCTCAATAATACAGCGTAATAGTTGGGCGCGGCTCGTGGGCTTAAAAACACAATTAACAAATGTAACTTATGTAGTTATCATCACCTCAGCCATGTAAGCAGCAAAGAGGTGACTAACAGGAGGTTTCTTGAGATATATTATTGCTTTACATGATGGAGGCATCCCCAGAAAGGTTGAAGTGTGGCAGTGCTAGGTATCAAGTGCTCTCACAAACATGATAAATATTGAATTTTCATTGATAAAGCACCAAGTAAAAGAAATAAAAATAAACTACTTCATAGTTGTAGGTAGTATGGAGAGTCTTCCCACGAATTTTAATTAATTATTTAATATTATTGTTGAATTGTTGCGTTGCTATTTCCATGTTATCATAATATACCTTTTTTAAGCGGGTGCCAGGGAAAAACAGAAACCTTGAGTTTTTCTGTGGTTGGTGGGGGGCGAAGGAGCAAAGGCGCGTCGCAAAAGGGATAAAAGGCTTTCGTGCGCCCGCCGCGGGACAAATACAAAATATCTCGCCTACTTTCCTCTTGCCTGGACAAATCCTGTGGAAGAAGCGGTGGCAATAAGCCCCAGTTGTTGCGTCGCTACGCAACCCGTCGCCCTCCCTCTCGTCACTGTTGCCACGCCCTCATTTGGTACCGCCCACATCCCGGACAAGCATTCTTCCACTCCACTGGGGGTTCCAAGCTTTAAAATTCAGCTTATCTTAATTCAGCTAGCCTACTTCCTCTCATTGCTGCCTTGGCGGCCTACTTTATATCTCACGTGATATAAATATCAATATAGGCGCGAGAAAGAAGGGTGATACTGGCATACAATAAATAAATAATCCACCGGGCACGCTTCACTAACAGCCTGCATTATCCGTTGTCGCTCCTAGACAAGCAGGTCGATACCGGGCGAGGTTACGCGATTATATCAGTTGCATACATATACATCTGGCCCTGCTGAGAGGCGAGCATTCCGTCTGGGCTGGCTTGCACCCAGCCAATCTCGGCCATACAAACCTTGAAGATCTACCCTGGGTGCTGAAACATAAATAATATACACTGCCAGGTAAGGTGTTTATGTGCGTTTTTTTTTTTTTTTTTTTTTTTTTTTTTTTTTTTTTCCAAAATCTTATGCTTTCCCGTTCTTCCCTGTTCCTTTTCGCGTCTCTCTTTTCCGGGCTTCTCAGCACTATACAGCGCCTAAGCTACATACCGCGTCATACCAAGGTATGCGCGAGTGTTTCCTAGTGCTCCAGAAAAGCTACCCACTCACAGAGTCCGTCCAAGTTTTGTATATTCTATATCCAAGCCTGCTGACACCTATGACCCCAGCGATGACAGACCCGGATAATTCGTACAGACCCCGATCCCCAGACTTTTCTGGCTTCCCTGGGTCCCTCCAGCTTCCCCCCAGTCCCTACGGACAGACCCCTTACCCCATCAACAGCCCCCTAGCCCACAGAGCTTCATACGACGCGTCTCCGTTCTTCAGCCCACAAGCCCACCAGCCCCAGCCGCAACTTCAACGGCCTACCCACCAACAGTATATCCCGCAACCTCTCGATTCGAACTACCCCCCACATATCATGCCCCCACAAACAAGATCGCGGGCCGCTGCTGCCCTGCAGCAGCAACCCATGGAGTGGCATGCGGCGCCTAAGTCACCACCACCAGAGAGCCAGCCAACGAAAATGAGAGGATCAGTGCCATCACAAGCTTCAGGGGGCATTGAGGTTAGAACGAAGTTTCCAGTTGCAAGGATCAAGCGCATCATGCAGGCTGACGAGGATGTGGGGAAAGTTGCCCAAGTGACTCCAATTGCTGTTTGTATGTCTCTCCCTATCCGTCCTCTTTCTATCCCTACCTGTTTCTCCTGCACGTGGACATAGCTGACATTATTCTGGAAAAATAACAGCCAAAGCGCTCGAGTTATTCATGATATCCCTCGTCACGAAAGCGGCGCAAGAAGCGCGGGCACGGTCTTCGAAGCGAGTGACGGCAGCCCATCTCAAAGAAGCCATCAGCAAGGACGAGGTTTTGGATTTTCTCGCGGACATCATTTCCAAAGTTCCCGATCATCCTGCTAACAGCAAGAAGGATGATGATGGAAGCGATCATAACGACGGGCGTAGGAGGAAAGGCGGCGGCCGTCGAAAGAAAGAAGACCACGATGATTTCTAGCGGCGAGACTTGAGTTTTTTTTTTTTTTTTTTTTTTTTTTTTTTTTTTTTTTTTCTTTTTCTCACCTACTTCCTTACCTGAATCTTTTCTATTTTTCCCGGTGCCTTGCGTGTAGCATTATTGGGGATTGGGGCGTTCATTGGGATTATTTAGGGCTTTTTTCTCTCTCTTCTCCTCGGTTAGTTGAAGGGCCATGAATCGTGATATTGCTTTTTTGTTGTTTGTAGCAGAATTAGGCGTTATATTTTATATATCCAGGTACAACTGGTGATTAGCATTCCTCCCAGAGGAAGGAATCTCGGGAGTATTTTGGTTGTTTGTTATTTTAGTCTCTTTTTTTTCCGCGCTTGGGTGGGGTGGGTAAATTATTGCGAGTTGCCATAACCCGCCATAATAAATCATCCAAACTCCTAACTCGGGCTGGAATAGGCCGGCGCTTGTTCTTCGCCTATTTACCGCACTAGTTAAGCGCGAGGTTCCAGCCGCGGCAGCCACTTAAGCCCCTTGTTCAACGCCATCCGTGATTCAGGCCCAGATCTTGTCTCCAGAAGACCAAAGACTGTTGCGGGAAGATAATTTCAAAATAAATTAATACAAAAGAAGACTCTTGGGCGCCGCACACAGAGGATCCCGTATCATTCACAGCTTCTCTCCTTTTCAATCCCCCAGCGAATAATATGCTCTCGATTACGGACTGAACCATGGACTTTGTAGGTTCCTTACCCTGATAACCTTCCAAGTTTAAGTCCACTGACCAATTCATTCAACAGTGGTCTCGTCTGATCGGGGGTTCTGGTCTCTCGTCATCAAGGGTCCTTCGGGGCAACTCCGCTGCTGAGCGCGTAGCAACATTTAAACATACGTGCAATACCCTCGATGTAAGAAGATAGACAAATACCTACGCCCATTCCCCGCCGACGACATCTTAATTTAAGAAGAATAAATCCATTGAGGCCCATGACAATTGAAGACACTAACACATGATTTCGTCATCTTTCTATTAGCAAATATGGCGTACAGCGCCTACCACCTCTGGCGAAGCTGCTTCCATTCTTCAAGTCAGAAATTGCCTTGAACGCCTCAATTCAGTCCTTAACGACGAGTCTCGTGGCCCCGCGCCTCATCCCTGTCATACCTTTGCTGCCACTTCTCAGGTTTACCTAACCGTCACGAAACTGGCACTGTCCTCGTGTGATCCTGGCGTCATCTCAAACGCCGCAGTCCTTTTCAATACATTGATTGATGCCGAGGTTGACGGCATTGTTGATAATCGGGTATTTGCCAGGGCGCTAGTCGACCTGGTTCGCAGAGCGGGCTCTGCTGGCGAGGAAGGGGAAGGGAGGCTTGTGGAGCTGCTGTTTGGAGTCGCGAACAATATTCGGTTACGCCCTGCTATTCTTCCTGCGTGGTTTTTCCCAAAGGAACACGGCAATCAGGGACCTGAGCCGGTGGAGACTGGGAAGGAGTTTGCGGGTGCAACGCGAAAGGACGATTTCCCGTTCTTCTATTTGTTAATCGACTATGTTCATCATGAAGGAAGATCGGGCGATTTCGCCCGAACGGGCCTGCTGTATATCATTGAGACGGCATCGCGGTCAAAGGAGCTCGAGCGATGGCTGATTGAAAGCGACCTTGCAACGCTAATGGCCACGGGTTTAGGGGCGCTTTATAGCCAATTGAATAGGTCCGTACTTACAAAAATTACTCCTGCTTGTGATATCACTGAATACCTGGCTTATATCATAGTTAACATAGAAAGCTTCTTTTCTTGAAGGATGACGAGAGCATCCCTCATATCGTCGCTCTGTCCGATTATGCTCCGGTGGAGACGGCAGCTCGCCCCAAGCTCGGGGCACACATGGATGCATTTCTTTCTTACTTGTTATTCTGGCAGGATACCATCGATCATTGTAAATCTGCTGAGGTTAACGACACACTGCTGGATCATTTTCAGGTCCTGTTTCTTCAACAGCTTCTGTATGCATTGACCCCCAGGACTACAAACGTCGATAGTTTTTTGCTGTCAACTGACCGCGATATAGTTATCCATCTCTTTTGGAGTCATCGGATGTTGATGGCGGCTCCACTTCCGCTGTTATTACCTACCTTTGCCGCATCTTGGAATCGATTGACCAGCCCGATCTAGTCCATCGAATTTTGCATTTTCTCCTAGCTTCATCCACGGGGAGTGAACCCGCTGCACAAATTCCGAAGCAGAAGTTACGAATGTCACTCAGCCGCCGCAAATCTCTTGATCTCCTAGCTTCGTTCGCGGAGGCTGCTGCAAAGCCATCGCCAGAACTTTTCAACTTGGTCGACCTTGTGTTGATGAGTATTAGATCGAAGAATCCCCCAACGGTAGTGGCTACCTTCCAGCTTATGACTGTGATTTTTCAACGGCATCATATATTTGCAAGCTCCTTGATCAAAACAGTTGAACCTCCTGAGACGTCTATGTGCATCAGGCCTATTGGCGCACTTAATGCAGAATTACAACACTTAGTTAGCTTGGCAAGATCAGTCATTGAAGACCCTTATTTGGATCAGTCATATCAAAATTATCTTCTCGATGCATCCGCAATTTTGGACCAACGAACCCCTATTATGGCTCTGGTTGGAGGGAAACCTACCCACTCCGCTCTGGATTCGCCCTTGCTTCTGCACACTACTGATGACATATTACGGGGAATGATCTCCAGGCTGGAGTCGTTTTTCACGAATAGCGTCGTGATGAATCTAGCCTTAACAGAGGCTATTACAAGTTTGGCATCTTCAAACTACATATCCTTGGATGGATGGCTCCTCGTCGAGCCTCGGAATTACGAATATGACACCGCGAGTCGGACCTGCGCAGATGCAGATGCGGAGGCCGATCACGCAAACAAATTCAGCCTAGCATTCGATCACCCATCTTTTCCTCCGTCGTCGGTACCATTGGTGCCGCACACTATCCAAAAATTGGTTCGCCGAGTCGAACAATGGCGATCGGATATATCCGATTTTAACATCCTCGTCGCAGCCCGCAGACATCTCCTCCGTTCCGGCGATGATGTGGGTGGCATTGACGGACAACCTGGGGTTAAATCATCTGATTCTTCCAACCGACCATCAGCGGACCGCCAGGGTCACCAACACCCGGCCAAAGTTGGCCATCGTTCCGATTCTCCGCGAGGTCGCAAGACAACACTTCTTGAACAGACGACTGATTCTTCGCCGCCGCGCTCGTTTGTAACTTCTGGGTCCAGATCATTGTTTAGCTCCCCCCTCCGCGATAACCCTCAGAAGCAAGCACCCTCGCGACCAGAATCAGCAACTCGCTCTTCGATAGCGGCAGACGAGCTCCGAAGACGACTTGCGACGCATATCAAAGTCGACCTGTCGGATGATTCCTCTTCTGACCAAGGCACAACTTCTGAAACTGACACGTCGACAACGTCTTTGCCCGATCATCCTGGCGATGATGACTTGGGATCCGGATCGGGATCTGGGAGCGCTTCTCGATCTAATAATGTAACGCTTGGACACATTCTCACCAACACCATCATCCTCTATGAGTTTATTCTTGAGTTAGTTGCCCTAGTGCAGGTTCGGGCAACGCTGTTCCAGGAAGTCAAGTTCGAGCGGTGAGCGCAACTTTTTTGACCTTTGCAAAAATTTACTTTATTGTACGTACCTGAATGGATGTTGCTACGGAATATTTTGTCGTGCAAGTGTAACTGGAAGAAATTTATCGATTGCATACACGCGCCCCGTTGATATGTACTTCTGTTTCTTGATCTGTCAACGATATATATAGAGATACATGGGGTACTTTTTGGGATAAAGGGATAGTTTTGTGCACCCGCCCCCCAAATGAATAGAAATAATTGGTTCTTCACGCTACCAAGTTGCCCACAGATAGTTATGTAATTCAATATTCGCCGCTCATCCTTGTACGCCGCTCGTGTGGTCGTGTTTGTCCGATGAACGGTTATTTTTCCATTGTGACAGTCAGACACCCGGCTTTGCCTCCTTTAAATCAACGAACTGGTTTCGCCACAGAGTAGCGTATCTCCCTCCCTTTTCCAGCAGCTCATGATGAGTCCCTCTCTCAACTATCGTACCCTCTTGCAGCACGAGTATCTGGTTCGCGCCGCCAATAGTGGACAGGCGATGGGCTATTACGAAGGTGGTTCTCTTCCTGCTTAGCTTCTTCAGTGCGCCCTGAATTTCAGATTCTGTCTCCGTATCCACAGCGCTGGTCGCTTCGTCTAAGATCAGGATTGGCGGATCTTTCAAGAACACTCTCGCAATCGCCAACCGTTGCAGCTCACCTCCTGACAGCTTGACACCTTGTTCTCCGACCCGGGTGTCGTAGCCGTCCGAGAAAGTGAGGATATTGTCATGGATGGCGGCCGCTCGGCAAGCGTTGTAAACCTCTTCGTCGGAGGCCGAAGGTCTGGCATATCTGAGATTTTCCATGATTGAGGTATTGAACAGGAGAGGGTCCTGGGGAACCACCCCGATGACGTTTCGCAGTGATCTCTGAGTTACATCGCGGATATCACGGCCGTCGATCTTGATGCAGCCGGAATTGACATCGTAAAAGCGGAGCAGAAGCTTCATGAGCGATGACTTACCTGCCCCAGTACTGCCCACTAGCGCGATCGTCTCTCCAGGCGCAGCGGAGAGTGTGACATCCCGAATTGCAGTTCGCTTAGAGTCATAAGTGAAATTGACGTCCTTGAACTCGACGGTGCCCTCGACTGGGCCAAGGTCCGGAGCTCCCTCCCTGTCCGCAACGGTGGGCTGGGTCGTGAGCAAGTCCAGCAACCGCTCTGCGTCGAGGAGGTCTGACATGAGGTATCGGTATTCATGCGAGAGAAACTTGATGGGCCAGACGAGGAACTCCCAGTACTGAATCAGGAAGACGAAGTCTCCCGGAGAGGCACGTCCCTCATAGACTTCATGGCCGACAAGGCACGCAAGTATGAAAAATGTTGTGGGCATCATCGCCTCTGTGAGCGCTTTGATGTAGGCATCCCGCCTTGACCAGTCCTTCTGTGCCACGAGATGTCCGTCCACAGCACAACCGAACTTAAACCTCTCGTGGTCAAACATGCTGAACAACGACACCGTCTGCCAGCCCTGCACAGCCTGGTGCATGACCCGAGCCTCCAGTCTCTGTGCCTTGTTCATGCGCCGTCGGTTATCAATGTTCCAGCTGGATGTTACAACCTCGAGTAAAAGAAACATGAGCGAGGCAAAGAGCATGCAAATGGCCACGGCTGAGTTAAACTTAAGGTACAGAAAGACAAACGCAATGAACATGTCGATGATCGTGGGAAGAATCTCTAAGATCGCCGTCTCAAGGACCCTCGTTAGCGCACCCCCTTGCTCGATGGCCTTCATGACTTCTGCAGAGTCTCTGTCGGAGTGGAACTCCATCGCTAAACTCATGACGTAGTTGAAGGCAGAGTTCGTGAGCTGTCGGTATGAAAATTGATCGATTGGGATTTTTGCGAGCGATTCAATAAGGCCCACCCCAGAGTCGCCATGCAACAGGCTCAACATCAGATAGACTGCTAGATCAGCGTACGGCAACTCCCGTTCGAAAAGTTTGTCAGTAACGATTCCCAGCTGGCGGGGAACGAGTATGTTCAGGAAACGGCTGGCGATCAGACACAACACGCAGATAAGAAGGCATCCCTGGATTTTAATGTCCTTCTTGGGCACCAGGCATGGCAGAAACACTTTAAAGTTGTTGAGATAGGTTATCCAGTTCCCTCTCTTGCGGAGCTGGCTGGCCCACGAGTCCTTGCGGCCATGCTCTTCATCGCCATAGTCTTCATCTGAATTCCAACCGTCGTCGTCTTCGTTGAGAAAAGAATCTGCCCCGCTCGTAGATTGAGAGGATACTGATTCGGCGCCGTAGGAAGATTGACCTAACGCAGGGTCGCCCGTCGCGTGGTTGAGTAGGGGCGCAGTGTCCTCCCCTTGGTCAAAATTCCTCTTGTGGCTAGCAATACAGTCCACGAAGAGGCTCGCAGCGATGAGCACTCGAATCGAGGCGATAGCTAATAGCGCGGTGTGCCCGACGGCCGCATCGTGATAAACCACATTCAGGACCAGGAGGGGAATGGCAAACCCGACGGTGATTAAGGTAAGACCGAGGGTTTCAGCAATGAGAAAAGTCTTTCGCAGGGCCGCAATCCAAGCAAAGGCGAAGAATGCCGCCGAAACTAGTCGGTCTGCACTGGTCTGATCGCGGTAGAGAAAAACAAGCACTATCTCCGCAACGTAAGATGTAGCGATAAGAGCTCGCGCAGCAAACCGGACGGCCGTTTTGCCCAATGCTAGTGATCTCTGAGGTGATTTTTGGCCATAATTGAAAAGAAAAGATCCGAAGATAAAGAGGAGTACTATCGCTGTGGATATTACATATAGCCCGTTGAGAACTCTTGAAATATAGATCATAGTGGCAACGCTCAATGCCCGCACTAGCTAGCCACTGAAGTGTTGGCTCTCAGCCGCTCATCAGGTGAAAACATCGAACTATATATTTATCTCCCCCCTCTTCAAATCTAGTTGCTTAGATGCATGTGGCTAATAACATGCTCCGAATTTTCACGAACTCTGAGTCATGATGACTCAACTCATTGTTACACCGCAAAACTGCGGACTTGAGAAGCTTTCGTCATGTATACTCCGTATCACAGCTTGAAAAGCCGATAGATATCCTGGTGAGTGAAGTGCCTTCAATATAAGTTCAAACAACACATTCGTGACCGACGTTTCCTCTCTGGTTCAAATGATCAATTTGCGAATTGACGTGCAGTGAGAGTCCATTCTGTCAACGCATAGAATGTATGTAGGGAAAAGTTACATGCTCTTTACCTGAACATTCAGCAACAGCAGCCCACTTCCTGGAAACGTTGTTGAGGCTGCTTGCAGGGGAATTGGAGCTCATGAGTTCGATTCGAGACACACCGATGATCATTCATTTATATTCCAGCTGATGTGTAAGCCGGAGGAGAGGGGATCGGATATTGAATTGAGGTCTTAATAAGGTTCATTTAGTCCGCGTATTCATCGGCGATGTTGGGTTCTAGGGGGTCAGGTTGATAGCGCTGAATATATTTATATGTACAGCAAATTTGTTTGCTACCTGTCTCCGTTTCCCTTCTCTTAAATCGAAATCATCTCTCTAGCTTATTCTTCGTACAGTGTTCTCTTGTCACAAGCGCCACGGCTCCTCTTGAACCGTCGACGTTTTGATTTTCGGCGGCGATCCTGCAGGACTGATTGCTACCCTTACACTAGTTCGCCAGGGCCATGCAGCGATCCTCTTCGACTCGGGCGGTTATCGCGATGTCGATGTAAACACGTGCACATGATACCTACTTTGGGACACAGGAACCCAGCCCAGGTCAGGGAGAAAGCGAGATTCGAAGTCCTAAACCAGTACGGGAGCGTCAGGATTGAGGATGTCGAGGTCACCGCCGCTAGAATGAGTAACGACTCCCTTTCTGAGGTCACCGACAGCAACAGCAGGGCTTGGAAGGGGAAAAAAATTATTCAGGCCACCGGCTCAGCCAATATTTTCCCAGATATTCCAGGCTATGCGGACTGTTGGGCAAAGCGAATGTAACTAAGCCCTTGGTGTCAATCAATGCTTTAATCCATTCCGATTAAGGGGCAAAACCAGAAATATTGACACCCGGGTCGTGTTCCAGTTATCATTGCCTCCACTGCAAAAGCTACGAAGACCGCGGGCCGCCCGCTCCGGCGTTCTCGCCGTTCAAACGACTTCAATGGTCCCCATGGTCATCCATCTTGCTGAGAATGCAGCAACCTTAATCTCAAGAGTGACCATCTACACCCACGGCTCGGAGGAAGCTTAGCACTCAGATCCAGACTTCCTGGTTGGTGTGGCCCAAGGAACAGTTCAGGGTGGATTCTCGCAAAATCTCGCATCTCCGCATGGCTGAGGCTGATGGCAAGCCGGCAAGCAGGTGTCTCGCTTACCTTCGCCGATGGTACGAGTGTTATTATTGGATTCCTCGTGCATAATCCGTTCACTAAGGTACAAGGTCCTTTCGTTGAGCAGTTGGGTAATGAGACAGCAACCCTGGGCCCTGTTCCAGAAGTGGGAGATATCGTAGCAAATTTCCCTGCCTATCAAACGAGCATCCGCAGTGTTTCTGCGGCTGGCGACTGCATCACTCAGTATAAGGTGATTGCGGACGCCATCTCCAGTGGATGTAATGCTGCTCTTGCGGCGCCTACTCAGCTGTTAGCAGAAAAGTATCAGCATGAGTGGCTGGTCTGGTTTTGCAAGATCTCCTCGCCTCAGCCCCGTTAGCATTTAAACCGTTTTGTACGAACATGCAAAGAAGTGAATAGTGGCATTATATCTTTCGAGCTTTTTGTCCAAGTGTGTGTTATAAATAGCATTAATTTGTACACATCAATTACAACCGTGTTCTTTGTTTAGTAATATTCAAGATATACATCCATTCCATGGTAGAGAACAGAAGAACAAAACCAAAATTCTCTAACAAAGGTAGAAGTATAGGGTATCAATCAAACCAAAGTAGTCGCAAAGAAAGAAAACAATTCCATCATTCAGGGGTCACGTGTTATCGATTAGTAGTAAGCGGCCGGTGGCCGAGGACTATGAGGATCATACGGCTGCTGGTTTGCCTGATATGGCTGCACCGGAGGGACAGGAGGATACGATTGCTGAGGATACTGTTGCATGAGCGGGACGTTTGGACCTGGCGGGTTTGGCTGGACTGGATATGCATAGGATGCTGCTGGTTGTTGTTGAAACGTCTCCTGGACGACACCTGGAGGCTCATTGTTCGCCAAGGCAGGGGATGTCACGATAAGCACAGCGAGCAAGAATGACGCGCTGTAAAAGAACATGTAGAGGAACCGAACTGCGTAGTAGCTGTCAGGCGTTACGTACGTGCCTCTCAACAAGCGATACGTCACGATCTGCTCGGCAAGAAAAGTAGCCGCAAAACCGACGCAGGTTGCTGCTAGGAATGGGGCATAGCGGCGGAGAGACTGATGGTGGTGGGGGCAGAGAAAGAGTCAGTACTAGGCCAGCAGCCATGGAACACAATACAGTGGATGAGGCAAACACATACGCTGGTTTTTAGGTTTGAGCCACGAGACATCGCTGACAGCAAGGTGTAGGCAGTTGAGAGCATCCCAGCCACGAAGAGAACCCCAGCGAGGATCATCAGCCCGTTCCTCGCCCTTGCCAAACTCTCTAAAGCCGGGCTGCTGCTGAAGGAGCTCGAATATTCGAATTGCTGGACGGCTTCCGCGGCGTAAATGCACATCGCAATGAGGTAGGAACCGGCGAAACCGCCTGTCCAGAGGCCGTGAAGTATAGCAATTAGCCTTGGAGACATGTTCGCAATCTGGTGGAGGCGTTTGCATATCGAAACCATGAGCGCCCCAACCAGCAAGGAAATTGCGATAACATGCAAAAAGGTAGAGACGAGTGCCAGCTTTACGGTTAGTTCGGGTGTTGTAATAAGGCATTGGTCGAGGACGAGGAAAAGCAGACTCCATGCGTGAGCGCTATTTTTTTAAAAATAAAATTATTTGACTTGGCCAGCTAATGTCGCCCTGCGGAAGCAGTGGACAGGAAGTGGAAGTATGCATATGGCGGGGGTTTACTTACCAGACCCTCGGGATGATCGACAGCATGAGAAGCCAGCGGCCAGGAGGTTTATTACTGTGTTTAAACCTGAAAAGTTTGCGCGCGGCCACCCAAAGCAAGACGAGATCAATCAAGAGATAGGTAGCCAAGTATCCCAGATCGATCCTGGGGAGCTCCGATGTAAAGGCGGAGCTTGAGCATGAGGCGGACGAGCCTCCACTGAAGATGCCTCCTCCACCCCGTCTAGGTGCCATTGTCGCTGGTTCGATGCCGCCTGTGGGGTGGCTTTGAATGAACTAGAAGGAATTTTATCAACAAGAACTCGGGTCAATGAAGAAAGCAACGTGCCTGGGGACATGAGAAAAGCGTCGATGAATTGGGGGCTTTCTATCGTGTGCGCTGTACGCTGTATATATATCGAGCGGCCAAGGACGCCCAGAGCAGAGCGCACTGCTAGTCTTCAGCGGGGTGTGTGGTCCGTCCGTCCTGTGTTGGGCGGAGGAAAACCAAGCGGCTCAAAGGCACGACGGGGTCCAAACTCAACATTCTCCATTATTGGTGGAATGGGGGGGGGGGTTATGTTGCCCATTTCGACCAGAGCCACGTTGGGAACCCTGAAAGCATCTGAACTTCTGAAGGCGTCCGTCTGGCGTCGATCCTCTTGTTCAAGCTCGAAGCTATACGGAACGGCTCTTTTCGAGTGGGAGAGCTGCCAATCAGCATCAGACAAGCGCTCGCATCCCTTGCAACGGTGGAACTTAGTGTGATTCTCAGAATACGAGGGCACAGCCATCATCTGGTCACGACTCTCACGAAACTTGAGGCCATCATTCGTGGATTCGTGGGCAGGATTGGGCTGACCAAAAATTTGAAATGATAATGGTACAGTGTCACTGTGTCAGGCACTATAAGTTTTGAAATCCCCCACGCCTACGATGCCAAGATATCGCTAACCCAGAAAGAACCCAGTTAGAATGCTGCTTTTACTTTATTTACCATACGATTTTTTATTTGTATTTTTTTATTTATTTTATTTTTATTTTTTATTTTTATTTTGTCAGGAAAAAAATAAAGGCTGCGACGAGAGCTTCTGTAATTTGGGAAATAGAACCACATTTACCATTTCTACATTTCTACTCAGTTGTAGAGGAACGGTACAGTTCACTCATTCCAAACCTTCAACCAGGTCAAGACGCCAGCCAAATTCATCCATTCTTGGCAACTATTAGACACAGCATCACTGTTTGGCGCCGTTCGTCATCGTGCCTTTATAGTTCCCTTGTCAGAAGTATATCAAGCTTGCAATTGAACTTTTCCGCCTTCGTATACCGTCGCGGAGGAGGCGATCTATCCGCACTCAACAGCCCGATCCCATAATCCTACTACGGGCAGGTGGAAATCCGAAGCCGGCTTCGTTGAATCGCTCTCTTGCCCCCTGATGAATAACTACTCTCCCAAAATACCTGGCCTGTCCTTTGACAACCACTGGACGGTTGCAATGCGCATCTTAGTTTGTCAATCATCAGAGCTTCCTCACATCGCTAACGAATCATAAACACAACGTATCTTTGCAGGGTTTCTATTCAAAATAGCAAACTGTGAAGTATTGAACTTGTTGCGGACTATAAAGGTATCGAAGGTGAACGCCATTGACAATGTTAGGGGAAAAAAAAAAAAAAAAAAAAAAAAAAAAAAACACGCTCATTTCCAAGAATGAATCATAATGTCTTCATTTAACCGTGGTATATCGGAGCTCCCGGTGCCCAATTCGTTTGTTTCTGGCAAAACCATGTATCTGCTTCGGTCTTTTGCTCGCTTTGATTAGTATCTTGGTTAATGGATGCATAAAGCGTAAAGCCGAACTGCTCCAGGCAGTCTAGCACGTTCAAAAGAATCAATCGCGTTTCCACGGTCTCGGTTCCGCTTGCTTTCCAAGGATAGCCGTGAAACTTAATCTCAAAGGATGATTCGAGGAACTGGGTTCTCTGCACTTTATCGCCCAGGGCGTTGACCATTGCCTGGCATAGAGGCTCCGGGGCATCGATAAGCTGGAGAAGGTCGGACTTGTTAAAGGAGATGCACAGCCAATTACTTCGCGGGGGCGGAGGCTGCTGAAAGCGAAAAAGAAGGGTATCTGGAAAAGAGAGTGAGTGACTGTTTGTCTACTGATGGGCTTGCTACTGTCCAATAAGAAATATGCGGAGTACCAATCCGGGAAAAAGAAACACACAAGTAGAGGGGCACTACCTTTGTTCCCCTCCTTTTTTAGTACATCCACCGAAGACTTCAGCACCCATCCCATATCATACAGGCCTCGTAACAATCCGCACACCAGACGGCGCGCAGCGGTTTTCTCATCTTCAAACCAGGCGGATGGCCTCCAGGGATTGCCGCGTAACCTGATTTCATCTGATGGGCCATATTCTCGGGTGCTCTAAAGACCGGCTTTTAAGTCACCTAGAAAAGAAAGGAAAAAAAAAAAAAAAAAAAAAAAAAAAAGCACCAACATGCCTATCTCGGGTTTAGAGGGTGTGGAAGGTGTCGGCTTCGACGAGAACATCCTTACCTGAATACCCTTGGGCCAGCATCCCTGGATAATTTCATAAATCCGAGTGACGTCTGCCGAAGAGAAACCCAGAAAGCGAATCCGATCAGTCATATGTAGCGACACGCTGGCGAAATTGGTCCGAAAAGAAGTAGCCGCTGTTGTGACCGGTTGTGATTGTGTATGGGCAATATCAAGTTTCGAGTCGCTACCTGGTGGTGGCGGCTGCTTTTCGTCTCCGCCGTCATACGCCGGCGGTTTGCTCTCCATCTCTTTGGCCTTGTGTAACTATGCAAGAATTGAGCAACCTGCACTCGACAACTATGGCCCTACTACTGTGTATATATTCGTGGGGAGCCCGCTGTGGAAATACTCCAAGTCCCAACTCTAGGCGTCAATATTCTTTTGCGATAGATAGTACGATCAGGGAGTCAGGACACCCGTTGGACTCTTGGAGGAGGCTTGGCCGTCACGACCCGACCCGACCGACCCCACCATCCGCGCGCTAATCGTAGAGGAACCGCGGCCCCCAGCGGCTCAAGCCCCAAAGCGAATAATAATAATATCCCGGTGACAAAAGCTGCTATTGTTGTCCTCGAAAATCCAGCCAAGGAGACCGCCGCAACTCATAGTTGAGCTTTGGATCCTTGCAGCAGGGAATGGTAACATTATTATTCAACTGAACTGGACGGTATATACACTATTCAATGCAACCCCTGAGGTCACCGCTCTAGTAGAGTAGTTAATTGTTAAAGTTTCCCCCGCGCTCTTTGCCAACCAAGGTTCTGCATGTCTGTCTTCTCCGGCTCGTGTTCCTTGGTTCCTGGAAGCGGCGGACAGGATGATTGATGTCCCTCGGGATCCCGTTTCTCAACTATACTCCGTACGCTGTTAGGGGAAAAAGAGGTTGTTGTAAGAGGAGAAAAGAAAAACACGCTTGCTGTTTCTCGGTCGATCTGATGTTGATGTGCCTTGCTCTGCTGGTTTCATGCTTTCTCTTTATTTTCTGTCCTCCATTAATTCACATAATATAATCTCGTCAGGAAGGACAATACTATGCGTATTTCCCCCGAGATTCCGGAGCCTAGCTAATTAAATAATATAATACCCGGATGATGGTCGTTCATCCATCGGCCGTTTCGGGAGACAGGACATTACATAGTTACATTATTATTATTATTATTATTATTACATTATTACAGGTGAATATCCAAAGAGAGATCGAACGTGCAGTGTGCAGCGCACTAATAATCTGTACGGAATGCCGATTCCAATTATAAATACCAGATATTTCCGTGGCTGACGCAGGGGGCAATGTCTGCGGAATTACCTTCGCCCACGGTTCAAGCACCAAGAAGATGGTTAGTTAACTTACGTAGGGGCAATATTAAATATAGAAAGGAAGAGAGGAGCAGCCAAATAATAATATATGCAGCAAGATTCTGAGCGAGGCAATAACTAATATTGAACATGATGATTCAATCCAGCAACTACTGCGTAGTTCTTCAAATGCCCTCCCTCTGTGCCATCCAACGGCTAGACATGAATTTCTGCCACCCCCCCGTCACGGCTTCTTTCTAACCAGCTTTCCTCGTAGCGTCCGCAGCAAAATCCTGAAAAAAAAAAAAAGCAAAGATGACCCATGCCAAGAATCATCGCTGATCAGATCGAACATCACAAGATAATTCTTGTCATTGGATTGGTGATCGCAATCAGGCGAGTTCAAGTGGCGTCGTGGAGTGCGATCGGTTCGCGCAAGAATCAATCTAAAAAAACTAGCGAACAGTCAAGGGAGAAAGAAAGGTTTTGCAAAACAACAGCACAGTTTGAAATAATAATAATAATAACCTTCTTGTCGAGGCTTCTTCAGCCATTAGATTATTTGCTGGCCCCCAGTTGCAGTCCGTCCCGGACCAAAGCAATCCAATCCGGTGATAGCAACATCGCTCTTCTCTCAATTGATGTGTCTCTTACAACACACATTGGAGTGTTTATTTCAAATTCTTTCAAATTCTTTCAGATCTCATCAGAGCCATGGGAAACGCCCTTCCAATTATTTTACTTGTGGCGGTGGCAAATAAAAACCCAATTGGAATGAGATACTCAGCCTGCAGCTATGGCGTAGCTGGGGAAAACCTGGAGCTGCAACAAGTCATCGAACCAGCAAATAAGATCTCTGAAATTATTTATTTATTTATTTATTTTATTTTTTTCCCTTTCTGCAGCCCCAATCAAGCTCAGAATTTTACCTCAGCAGCCAATAATTCGCGAGTCCCATCGGCGCCATCGTCCCTGCTAGCCAATTGAATTTGGCTGTTTCGGGGCTATCAAATCGCGAACCAGCAGCACTACCCCGTAGTAGTTACTGCAGACCCAGCATCGTCGTCGCATCGTCGTCGTCCCTAGCACTTCCTGATCTCATTCACACCTCCGACTTTCTTTCTTACCAGATCCTCGGACTCTTGTATGAATACGTCTTTATCGATGAATGCTTTATGGAATGCTTTTCCTTTTTGCAAATTGGTAGTTAGTCCCGATGAGGATTAACTACACCAAAGAGCGAAGCTGCACGATAGTGCCCGCTAACCAACATGGCGAATTGATATCGTGGCATAATTCACGAAGCTAATGCCACCTCTCCCAAGTCTCTCTCCTGTTGGGAATCAAATAAACTGGGCCCAGTGAAAAGAGGCAAACCAATCAAGAGCTTATTATTAGCTCGCTAGCAACAGGAATGCAGTTCTCTGGAAGTGCTGGCCGTGGTTGGGTGGTGACGGCACACAACGTATCCTGCAGGCTGGCTTGAGTTGGCCCGCCCGTTTTTGCGATTGCCGCCTCTTTGTTGTGATTGTCCGTTTATGATTACCCTGAGCGGACGATCCGAGTGCATTATTTATCATTCCCCGGTTTCCCCTGGTTTTTTTTTTTGCTCTTGCTCTTCTCTTCTCTTCTCTTCTCTATTTTTCATCCCGCTGCCCATCACTGATCATCTTTGCGAAGCACGAAAGCAAAAGCCTTCCTGCCTTTCCCTTTCTCATCATTATTAAGGTTATACTACGAATTCAGGAGAGAGTTAAAATGAAGGTTTCCGTATTACTCTCTGCAGGTGCTTTCGCCGCCTTGGGCGCTGCGCAAGACTGGAGTGGTGTGTCGGACTGTGCTGTATGTTCTACGCAAATGCCGGCCCCCTCCGCTATCCTGGTATTGGGCTTCACACTGTTGAGTTATGTTAACAGAGAATTGAAAAATTGTTAGCGCGGATGCATTGAACGGATGCTGGGTCTTGCTCCAAGCCTCGGTTGCAAGACTGAAGATGTCCCCTGCCTTTGCACGAACATGGATTTCGCCTATGGTGTGCGCGACTGCACAATCCAAGCTTGTGGTCCGGAAGATCTTCCAGGTGCCGCCGCTGCTGCAACCGAGTTTTGCCCCGACGACCCGCCAGGCGCGTCCCCAAGCGGTTCTCAGGATGCTACAGAGACTCCTACTGGCGAGCACACCCCGTCCCCAACGAGATCATCCAGCCCGACTGATTCAACTGCTGTAAGATATTCCCTTACCACCAGGTTACAGGGCACAATATCTGTGTTACTAACAAAGACAACCCAAAACGCATCAGACACGCTCGGAGTCTCCTGCTTCTACTCCTTACACTACCCAACCAATTGTATCAACAATCACTTCCGGCACTCAGGTAATCACGACCACTGTCGGCAGCACGACACTCTACTCCCCCGTATCTGACGCAACCGGAACCCCTCGACCAACTGGCACTGAATCCGAGCCAACTGGTTCCAGCACCGCTTCTCCAACTGACCAACCCAACACTACCGGCACCAACACCGGCACCGGTGCTACTCCTGAACCAACCGACAACGGCGCCTTCCATATGCTTGCGCCTGCCACCCAAGGAATCATGGGAGCCCTCGGTGTTGTCGCCCTGCTCGCGCTGTAAAGGTCCGTCCTCGCAAGATGATGTCAAACTATATTAATGCTACCCTTGACGAGCAATGCGTCAAACCAAGCACATGACCCATGGGTATTAGCTGATGGAAATGACAACTTTTTTTTTATTGATATCATGTTTATAATTTTATTTCTACTCCCCTCACCTCATGACGGGGAGTGAGCCATGCGCTCTTTTCGCATTTGTTTTCGCTTCTACCTCGCCCGAAACTGTGACGCGGTTCTCCGGTGGCATCAATTGCCAATTATAATATCTTACATGCGGCCCAAGTCCAACATGTATGGGGAGGGTAATTATGGGGCGTCATTTCTGGTGGATGGAAAATAGTAATAATGGGCCCTGATAAATAATATTACCAATTTATGACTAGTAACACTGTCAGTGTTGAAGCATATTCTTCTGGATTCCGCCAACAGAAAGCTGGCATAGTTGGTTATTGCCAGTGCCATTGGGATAAATAAATCTATCTGACCAGCTTCCACACAAACGCAAGAACAGCCACCAAGCAAGCAAAGGTAAGAACCATATTTCGAAGAGCTATCACTCCATGTTTTCGGAGCGCATACTCAACCCTCCCCTGAAACCAACCCAGCAGCGTCATTAGCTCTGGGAAACGGCTGACCATGCGGAACCTCCTTTCCCAAGAACTTGCACACCGGCTCCCAGCCATCTTCAACCTTTCCACTCCAACAACCGCGCTCGGGGGGGACAAGCAACAGCCACAAAGCCCACTTTTCATTTCCCTCCTCACAGAGATGCTTCATCGCGCTTGCATGCCATTTGTCCATATCGCGCCGGACGTTAAAAATGACTTTTTGGCCTCGGCATAGGCGGCGATCAGCTCTGGGGCGAAACATGATGCTGCCGAGTCTGCGACAGCCACGCTGTGACCGAGCAGTGCGTCGAACAACTTTTTGCGGGCGAGACGGACCCAGCCTTGGGTGTATAATAGTAAGGGGTCTTCGAAAATGATGTCCCAACCCTATCAGAATCAGTGGGGCCGCGAAAAACATGTGCCACCCCATTTATGTAGCATTAGTATTTTTCGGGGGACATCGAGTTGTGGACAGTGAAGCCGCCACATGGAGGCCGTTCTGCAGATGTGATTTTGCCTCTTCACTTTTGGAAAGGAGGTTAGAGAGAGAGGCGCATATGGTATGTATGATCGTATCCGAGCTTCAACAAGGCATGTTGCAATGATTCAGTTCCGCTACGCATAGTACTTGCATGGGCTTCGTTCGAACACGCGGAGGGGGTTCGGGATACCCATAGAACCATTCGCAGAAGTGCCAGAAGAGGCTGTTCATTGCCATGGCGATGGGATTGGGAAGCGGGCGACAGTGATATATATTTTATGAGTGGGCTTTGCGCCGCTGATACGATGATAATTTTGAAATGCTTGATAGTTATGAGAACTATAACTAATTATGTAATATTAGGATTGAACTGGCTAACTTCTATATACTACTATCTTCTTTACCTGCTTTTATATCCAAGTTCCAACATACTACTCCGAAGATTCCCCTCAAAAGGTTATTATAAAAACAAGCATCAAATGCTCGCTTACGCTCGCTTTGCTGCTTGCGCAGCCCCCTCTACCACTTCCACCCCCTTCCACGCCCTACTCCCTCTACCACCACCACCGCCTCTACCGCCCCGCAGCCCCCCCTATCACTTCCACCCTCTACCTCTACCCCCCCCTTACCACCCCTTCCACCCCTTTCACCCTCTACCACTCTCTCCCCCTACCACTCTCTTCCACCCTATATCACCATTATCAGATTAATCAGAGTCATACAGGCTGCAGAGCCAGCTGTTCAATCCCATTCATGAATTCAAAGGGGTGCACATGACATCACATGAGATCAAAAATGAACATAGAGAAGAGTATAAGAAATGTAAATACTGTAGAGAATGTATAAAAAGAGCAGAATGAAAAAAAGAATGAAGATTTGAAGATTGATCTGAGCTGTATGATCTGAAGCATTCAAATATTTTTGATGAGATGCATATGATGTCACATTACAGTGTTTTTTATATGAAAAAGTTGATTTTTCTATAATAAATAGAGAGATAATCATGTAGCTAGCTTCTCTGATAATAAATAGAAGATTAACCATTTCACAAAGTATTTGAATGCTCAGCTCTGCTCTCTAGCTCATACAGCTCAGATCAATCTTCAGAGCTTCATTCTTTTATTCATTCTGCTCTTTTCATACATTCTCTACAGTATTTACATTTCCTATACTTTTCTCTATATTCATTTTTGATCTCTGTTTTCATAGCATGCACTGCTAAATGCTCTGTAACATGATCTCATGTGATGTTATGTGCACCCCTTTGAATTCATGAATGGGATTGAACAGCTGACTCTGCAGCCTGTATGGCTCTGATTAATCTGATAATGGTGATAGGGGTGGGGTGGAAGAGGGTGTAGGGGCGGTAGAGACGGTGGTATGGGGTGGAAGGGGTGGAAGAGGTGGTAAGGGGGGGCTGCGGGGCGGTAGGGGCGGTGGTGGTGGTAGAGGGGGCTGCGCAAGCAGCAAAGCGAGCGTAAGCAATAATATGTGCTTATTTAGCTCCAAGTCTGATCGTCGTCTATGCATCGAGCGGCTGAACTCCTGCAAAAAAGCGCGCAGTAAATAACTAAAATTATGGATAACCAGCTCACCACTGCCACTAATCCCGTGGACAAGTCGTTTTTCAGCCAGCCATCCTCACAAGGAATCGGGTGGTCCCAAGAGTTGAAACGCTCCAAAGCCGACGTTTATATCAAAGAAAGCCCTGTCGCCAACAAGCATTCACGCGAAGGAATTCGGAAGAAAACGCAACTTGATTCAAAAACTCACATGCAGATTAGAACAGAGATTGGGCTCTCAAAAAATATAAAAAATAAAAAATAAAAATCTAGTTGCAAGAACAAAGCATCCAGCTAATTAGACCCTGTCCGTGCTCAGATCCCCAAGACACACACCAGACCACTCATCCTAGTATCGAGCAAGTGAGAACATAAATCAGGAGAAGTAAAGTGGAGATGTCCTGCGTCATTAGTTATGGCTAGCAAATAAGAAGCAGGATATAACAATGCAACGTATAAAAAGGCGCCCCTGGTCTGAACGCCTTTTACTGAAAACATGAACCTGAACAAGAAACGGGAAAACAAGGAGAAAAAGAAAAGAAAATATATGAAAAAGAAAATGCCCGGAAATAATAATGAGAAAGCGAAGCAACACACACACAAAAAAAAAAAAAAAAAAAGCTGAACAGCTCCACCACCAATCGAAACGAAACCCTCCAGTTACTCCTCGCCCAAACTCTGCCTCACGCATTGCCGTACTCTCTTCTTAAACTCCTTCGGGTCCTCCCGCCAGAGTCTTGCAGCTTCCACATTTGCGGGACTCTCATCGTTGGGACTAGAAAGCATGCTGATAACGCTGAGGAGAATGGTTTCGGGGGTCTGCACTGGCGACCAGCGCTCGGCAGCAGACTCGTAGCCATATTTGTCGTCCTCGGGGGGATGTAGGATGGATATGCAGACTTCGCCGTTAGGGTAGACTAGAGGGGGAAACTCTCATCGTCAGAAGTGAGGATACACTTTAAATATGTAAGGGACCGGGATGGAGCGAGAAAGATCTTTTGGCTAAATGTTATGTACTCTGTACAGTACGTACTATTTGGGTGGAATATTGGAGTTTCAAATTTCATCGTCGGCGGCATATGAGGATACTCCGGGGGGAAGGTTAGTCGAGCGCAGAAAAAGCCGCCTAGATATAAAGAGATTTCAACTTGTTAACAAGCAAGCTTCCTCAAGTTTTGTGCCCATGTCATGTCAACCTCCCGGCACAGACGGAGTTTTGACCAAGATAGAGATAGAGAAGATATCTTTGTATCCTGCAACCAAAGAGCCCCGTTTGAAAAATGCCCGCCCAAAAACATACCGCCATAAAATTTACACTCATCCGAGATCATGAGCATAACCTCCCATTCAAATATGTTATCGTTCGCCAGCCCGCAGCTTATTCCCGGGATATCCTTATCTGTTTGCATCTGCTTCAATTGGCGGCCGAGCAGCCCCGCTGCAGCAGAAGTGGCCATCGTGAACTACTAGTTGGGTGAACTGGCAGGGGCTAGGAAATCTGTGACGGTCTAATATTCTTTGAAGGCTTTGAAAAATGTCTTTGTATTTTCGGTTCTCCCACTACATATAATATATATATATATATAAGAACAAGAGTGGGCGGGGAGGGTGAGGGGAATGGCGAGTGAGGGCAATAATATATGTGTGGTGGCGTTGGGATGTTGGGGGAAACCGCCAGGACTTCGCGGCGAGCGTTGGAGATAGCCGCAGTGGATTGGTCAAGGGCCTACACAGGGTAGCAGTGGGTTCCTTGGGAAGAAAATGTCGAAATAATCGTTCTAAATCTTCGAGCTAGGGTTTTTCCATATAATATACTGAGGTTGACGGTCGAAGCCGTGGTTAGTGATTCTTCCTCGTCCGTTCCCCGCGATCAGCCAGCATTACCTAATCGGGTAATTCCGCCTATCAGCCGATGAAGGTCACTCACGGAATTACTACGTTTTTGGAACGGCGGATTTGCTAGCGGAAGAAGGGCGCTTGAAAAATATGCACATCCATGGCAGATAGTAAAATCATATTCGCAACGTACGGAATATACACAATAAAGATCGTATTGAAAACTATAACAGCTCAAAGTGAGGATTGGAGGCTACAAAAGGGACAAGAAATACAGGTCGAACGAATGAAGAGAACGGAGAAAAATGCAGAGAAAAATGTAGAAGCTGGTTAAAATATTGAACATGGGGAAAACCTGCCCGATACTTCACTTGATTGTGCTCGAGGGGAGAGGGGACGAAACATAGAAATCGGAAACATGTAGTTAAATCTCCATGACAGCCAGGGTCGAACTTGCTTTCCAGGCTAGCTAGTCACCCCTAGGGGGCCACTGAATATATGTATATAACTTTGCCAAACGAAAAACAAGGGAAACCTACGCCTGCACAAACATCTTCTCCTTCATAAGACTAGCTTCGCCAGCAATGACGATAGCGCAGGCAACCGTGACTGGGACCATCATGGCGAAGGTTTTCACTAGAACCTTGAGGAGACGGACACGCGATGGCCAGGTGAAGGTCTTCCAGGCATCCAACAGGCCAATCTTGCCGCTACCTCCCAAGATAGCCGGCTGAACCTTTCCACCAAAAGTGCGATCGAAGGGCACAATGGTCTCCTCTTGATCAGGGAGAATAGATGCCGCGACTCGGATCATGGTCACGGTGGCTGGAAGCTCAATAAGGAGTGTCAGACATATGGCGAGGAGAAAAGAGCCGATGGCTATAGCAACCTCGGCGCGGAGGTCGAATTCTGGGTCTGAGAGTGGATTGCCCTCGTTCACACTCCATACTCGGCTTCTCATCGCTAGATGGGCAGGTAAGATAAAGGTGAGTTGCGAAGCCACCGACTGAAGGGCAACAGCGGGAGCAATCTTCACCCAGCTGCTATATCCAGGGATGCGTCTCCAAAAGCGTTTGGCAGAGGGCTCTGAAATTACAATGTGGACCCAGGCAAGCGCCAGAGGGGCGGAAACCACTTCGGCGGCAATACGCCGAAGGAATGTAGGGGATGGCTTAGGTCGTTACCACGGCCAAAGGTAAAGAATTGGGAAAGGATCGAACGGCTAATCACCAAGCACATGTAGATTCCCAACCCTCGGAAGCGGGACCAGGGACCGGCACGGGCACGAAGATGGAGGATGGCGGAGCGCAGGGTGCTGGTGACAGGGAACAGGCGTTCAAGAGCGACATCGGGACCAGGGCGAACTGCGTTTGTTGTTTTACTGGAGTCATCGGGACTGTCCCTGATGCGCTCATAAATATCCGGATGGGGATCTTCCACCACAGCCAATGTTGCAACGACCGTGCCATAGGTATATTGAATCTAGAATTGCAGCCAACGAATACTGTGTTAGCGGGGCATGGGATCAAGAGGGGTATGCTATCACCATCCATGGGGAAACACATACGGCGAAAGAAATAAGGCCGAACACTATAGCAGTCACAGAGAACACCAGTATGGCCCAGACTGATAGTTTGCGTCGCTCTTCATTGTCGTCGTTTGAAGTTGGTGATAGGTAGCCGGACGTGGCGTCCATCCCTCGACGGACCAGGTGATGGGCAACAGCAGACATGTCAGCCACCGAAAGGAACGACGAGATATATAAAAATGAAACCACAGTAAGGAGAGACACAAGAAAGACACAGAACGTGTTTATTGAGATAAAAGACCACAAAAAGAAAGGCAGCTGAGAGGAAGACTAAAAGATGGAGGAAGTTGATCAAACCTTGCGGGAGGTGAGCCTCATTCACCCCCTTGTTAGCATTATTTAGTAAGCCGGCCGCTGTAACATAACTAAGTTAACTAACTAATAAATAGTTATAAATTTAGGCAACAACTCAAAACCATCATGATCACGACATTGAGCGATGACGGGATTCTTATTTCTGTGAACTAGGATTCCAAGAGCTGACGTGATTAGAGTTGATTGACGATGCAAGGACATAACGATGCACATTCGTATGTGCTATACAAACACATGTATAGGTTTCATATCCAGATCTCAATCAACCCAGGTAGTTATCATTCTCAAGCCCGCCTACGATGGTAGGTGACCACCAAGATGATAGACGACGCCAGGAGGGCTGAGATATCTCACCTGTTGATATTATTTCCACAACCCTCAAGCAATCTAAGGCCCATCTGCCCGGTGGTTCATCTGCAGATGTTCTCTCCGGGCGTGTCTTCCCGTTTATTAGCCCTATATGTAGCAGATGACCATGACAGACACCTTCGTGATTCTGCCACTGATATCTGAACAGCGTGGATAATGAGGGATCGCCAGTTATTCCATCCAGCTATCCCCATCTTCATGCAAAACCCCCACTCGGACAACTGTTGTTCGTTGCGAGGGCTTGCCTCCCTTCGCCCGGAGCTGCAGGGGTCTCGAAGATACTGCTGCTTCGTATATGAATGGAGTCAGTCCCCAATTTGAGAAGACAACGGGATTTTGATCGTTATTGCCTCCATCCTCCTTTTCTCCATGCTCTCTCACTCCCTCTCTTCTCCCCTCCTCTCCTCTCCATCTCTCCCTGTGCTGATAGATCCATGGTATATCTATTTTTCCATCCTCCGAGCCGAGGTCCGCCTTTGTCGCCTTACATAATCTCCCCCCGCCGCCCCGTGTTTGCTTCGAGCCGGAAGCCGCACCCGCATCACAGGCAAATCTTGCATTTCTCCAGATTCTCCCGCTGGGCTTTTTTCCCAATTTTTTCCAATTTTTTTTTCCTCTTTCGTTTTCTACGTCGTCGTTGTACTTAGCAGGTGTTTCCTTTCAGTCCATACACTCTCTTCTTCGGATTGTGCCCGAGTGCTCTTTGCGCTGGCTTGGTAGCCTCTCCTATCTCGGATTCCCCTCCCCCCCAAATCCCTCATCAGCCTACATTCCTCACGCCTCTATATCCACAATGCCGTCCTCCACGACTGTTGTCTCCCCTCCAGCACCCATGGAAGCAGAGCCCAAGAAACAATCTCCGGCTGCTGCAACTGCTACCATCTCCCAGATCAAATCGTTTGTTGCCGGTGGTGCGGGCGGAATCTGCGCTGTCGTTGTTGGGCACCCCTTCGACTTGGTCAAAGTCCGCCTGCAAACTGCTGAGAAAGGAGTTTACTCCGGTGCCATCGATGTCGTGAAAAGAACTATTGCCCGCGAAGGCCTTACAAGGGTATGTCCATGGACGGGCTAACCTCTCTCAAGCTACTATCCCGCGAATTTCCATAAATCCGTAATCTAATAGCACCAATAGGGCCTATACGCTGGCGTTTCAGCTCCATTGGTCGGAGTAACTCCTATGTGTATGTTTTCCTTTTCCTATTCCTTTGACTGGTGAAGATTATTGTTCAACTGGCTAACTGTTTCCAATTTTCAGTCGCCGTCAGCTTCTGGGTACGTTCGCATCGGTCAACCGTAATTTTTTGCCCGCACCCCCTCTAATCACTCCTCGTATCTATGCAGGGTTATGATCTTGGGAAAACACTCGTTCGCAACTTCTCCACTGTTCCGGTACATAATGGAACTCCCCAGTACTCAATCGGCCAAATATCTGCTGCCGGTTTCTTCTCCGCGATCCCCATGACCCTGATCACCGCTCCTTTCGAACGTGTCAAGGTTCTCCTTCAGATTCAAGGCCAGAATCCCCCTCCTCCCGGCCAAAAACCCAAATATTCCGGTGGTGTAGACGTTGTCCGCCAGCTCTATAAAGAGGGCGGTATCCGTAGCGTATTCCGCGGAAGTGCCATGACCTTGGCCCGTGACGGCCCTGGCTCTGCGGCATATTTCGCCGCCTATGAATATATCAAGCGCAGCCTCACGCCAAAGGATGTCGACGGAAATGTCACCGGCGAACTGTCCTTACCCGCCGTGGTTGCTGCAGGCGGCGCAGCTGGAATTGCTATGTGGATCCCCGTCTTCCCTATCGATACCATCAAGTCCCGGCTCCAGAGCGCGGAGGGACGACCCACCATCGGAGGCACCATCCGCGGCGTATATGCTAGCGGGGGATTCAAAGCATTCTTTCCCGGATTCGCCCCTGCTTTGGCAAGAGCGGTGCCGGCAAATGCTGCTACTTTGTAAGTTCCTTGGTTCCACGAGGTGTACATAATTCAACATCCATGTTTCCAATAGCTGACAATTCGCTCACCCAAACAGCCTCGGAGTCGAACTGGCTCACAAAGCCATGAACAAGTTTTTCTAGTCACTGAGATATACGGATGAAATAAATTCTCCTTTTCTTTGTCATATCAGCACATAGAAATTTACCTTCCCCCTGTGCTCCACAATGAAGAGGTGGAGCTATGATACCCACGCATATTAAGCTGCGAACATATATCTATCACACATCAAATCCTGAGCACCATTTCTCTGGTAAATATGTCTTCCTGCCTTCCTCGTTTCCATGATGCGGGGTTGAGAGAACTCAGCCCCCTGAAAGCGGAGTTTGTTGTAGACATTCCTTGCTCTTTTTTGTATTTACATTTTATCCTTTTCCTCTCCTAAACCTTGTACATGTACAGATTCCACGACTTTTGTTCTGTTTCCTTACTGTTTATCGTTCCTCGTCCGGTGTTTTCAAATTACTGTTACCTTCTGCCATAGAGCACATATATAGATCATGCCGTATTGGGTTGGTTCATTGGTTAAACATTCGTGCATGGGATTTTTTGTTTTTTTGTTGCATGCCAGTGTGTAGGGCGGTTTTAACAACAGGCACATGGTAAACGTTGGCACAGCGCAAGTAAAATTTACCAAAATTACTATTAGTGCAGCGATACCACTATCTCTCACACACCCTCTCAGTCGCGTTTCCTTCTCCTATTTTATGTCCCAGTCTACCACTCTAACTTACTCCCTAAACTTCCCACCACAGTATATGCATGTGTCGAAAGTCTCACAGAGTATATCTAGCAACCGCCGCTCTTGGCACTGAGCCTGAGACTCACCCGCCGTCTCCATCTCTGGCTCAATCACACTAGGGACTTCGGCAAGCTCCGCATCCAAGACTTCGCCACCACACACTGAACAACGCTTGGAAATCGACGGGTCCTGGATGGAGAGAAACGTCAATCCGCATCGGGCTAGATTTCCCAATACGACACTCATTAGTGGTTGTGGGATTGGAATTACAGGAAAAGTTTAGGGGCTGCAAAAAAGGGAGACGAACCGAACATATGCCCCTCCGTGCACTGGGACTCTTCAGCAGAGTACCAGTCAATACCGCTCCCGCATATATTGCAGAATTCAAATACATCATGACCAGCCTCCGCTTGGGCTTCGCGGGGTTTACCGGGTATCTGTTTGCTCGTTTCCGGACCAGTTGAGGGCTCTGAGGGATGTTGGATTTGCGGCTGGAGCTTTTCGTCTATAAGGGATAACTCCAGCGATAAGTCGAGGTTTAATGTATCAGATAGCCACTGCGCCGCTGATTTGGCAGCTTCCAGCACAGGAGGGTCATCCGCGGGGTATTGATCTGTAGCGAGGCAGCAGATAGCAGCGTATTTGAGCTTTCTTTCCCAGGGGTCATTCGGTATATCTCTATGGTTCCCATGTAGGGTGAACGATAGGACCCTTGCGCGGGCAGCTCTCGTGTGCTTAGGTGTTAATTGTGGAGGAATATCCCAAGGCAACGTTGCTGAGACAGCCTCGCGGGGCTCCCCGCTCCCACCCTCCGCGGGTTGTGGGTGCGCAAAGACTATCCTCGAGCGTTCACGCGCCGTGGTGATATATTCAACCATGTCGCTGGGATGGACTGTGAAGCACGCTGCAACCCAGCCTCGATGGCTAGTCATGCCCCATATCCTGGCGACGGACATTCCACCCAGGTCGTGGTCAAGGTCGAATCGGCTGCGGAAGCCTTCGATCTGGCTGTGAAGATCGGCACTCTGCGGGTTGCCCGAATGGCCATCATTGCTCATAGTAACGTCTTGAGTTTGGGTCGCTGGCAGTGGTAAAGAGCGGAGGGATGATGAATAATGGGCGACGTGTAGGACAGGGGTATGCGATTGGGTGTCCGTTGTGGAAGTTATGGCTATCGCGCGGAATCTTCAGCAAGTACGCATCTAAAAGGGCTTTTGTGTGACAGGATGCTCACCAGTAATGGGCTCCCATTCTAGTAAGCTGTTATCTTCTGCTATGTCTGCACGTAGTGCGTGGTGGAATGATATCGTCGGCGTGCACTGCTGTCTCCCAATTGACTCTGAGACGAACAGGTCGTCAAGTGTAATCACAACATATCCCCCAAGATATCCAACAGCCAAGCATAATGATGGTGAATTTTCAAGGTCCTTGAACGGTTAGTAAGAACACTATCTAGGTATAAAAGGGAAAGGATGTCTTATTTACCGCAAAGTCGACCCAACGTAGAGGGCCATGGAAGCTCATACGCTGAAACTGATCTTCTTGAGAGATAGGGATAGCTTCACTCAACAGTAAATCCAGTCTGGCATCCGTATTATTTCCTTCTTCCTCTCCTCCCAGTTCTTCAAACTTTGCATGTAACAGAAAAACCTTAACCTCAGTAGCTTGTATAATTGCAATTGGAGAAGTATGTCTAGGCTTCCCCTGATCGTCCAAACTCTGTCGCGGGGAGCCCCACGCAATGTGAGATATGATGTGTACTGATCTCATCGGTTGACTCAGAAGGGAACCAGGTTGTACACGAGGATATGCCGCAGTCGGCGGGGATACCTCATTATGGGAAATAATCTCAACCCATAACTTTCGTCGGGTCTTCGCGTCTAATCCCCGGCGGTCATTTCTAACTCTAATCAAAGTTATGTCGTTCATATCATTCGCCACAACGAGTAGAGACATATTTCGATAGGCAGGATGCCCGTGTGGAGCATCCTTGTCATGACGATCATCATCGCATTTAGGACCCCAACAGAAGGACCTGACATGCTGTTTACGCTGTAAAATTGAACTCTGTCCTTGTAACAATGGACCAAATGCATCTTTTAACGCACTATTGACAACTACACTCCGCACCCACTTGGACTGTCCGTCCGCCAGCTCCCAGAGCGACAGGACCAAATTGCTTGTCAATACCGCGAGGACGTGTCGACTGTACTTGGCCAGGCAATGCGGCGACCAAGCCAATGCCACAACATGGCTGACAGACTGCTCTTCACCGAGAGAGAAAAAACCATCGCCCCGCTGGGGAAATATCATGGGCCATTCCTTATTAGTGAAGACATTTACGCGGAATTTGGTGGTTGTCCACTGGGTGTTTGATGTGGATGGTGTTTCCGCCGCACCAGCTGATGTTGGTAATTTTATCCGCGGAGTCTAGATATTGGGTGATCAGTATTATGATACTTTTGCTATAGATCATAACCGGTATTCGAAGCTCAATAATGATACATGGAAGAAGCTGATTTTCGTGGCGGATAAAGGGGTGTGTGATTTACTAACTAGAACATGGACATATTCCCCCAGTGCAACAGCGAGCTCACCATCCGGGGACCAGGAAATACAATCGAAACAGGATGGGAAAAGCTTTAGTTCGACAGGATCGAGCGTCATGGCTTGATGGGGAATGTCAGGTAGCTACCGTAGCATTTTAGAGGCTGCTGCTCCCATGGCTTAAGTCGAGGTTTTTGGTGTTCAAAGCACCATACCATACCATAGTAGTAACTAGTGGTTATGCGAGAATATTTTACACCAAAAAAGCTCACTTTCCCTTCAAAATGACTAATGTTCCTGCCTATAAACTCGCAGATAAAATTTTGCGAAGAGCTCTCAAGTTTTTACGTGTTCTCCAAAATATTATCTCTGTTTCATTTAATGTAACTATCCGCTTCTGATACATATTTCCATGATATGAGATCCATGCACGAAGTATGTGATTGGCTATCTGCATGGTCAAGAAATAATTGCCTTTTTCGTACTCTGTACAGATATAAATAGTAAATAAATAAAGCCCATATATATTATGCATTAATGATTGTTCATTCCTCTAGAGCTCTGTTTATAAAATATAGATGTTATACAGTTACGCAGAACGAAAACCATAGGTTTTAACAATACACAAAAAGGATCAATCTTTCAGCAGGGTCAGCATCTTAAGATATAATAATATTTCTACAGTATGTTTTTTCGTCTGGCAAGTTGGTAGCTGCCCTGGAGCCGTTCTCAGACAACCCTTAGAACCCTCGTTCCGAGTCTCAGCCAACATCCTCTTTCCGACAATATAGTTTTTCTTTTACTCGAGCCTACAGATGTGAAAGGGAGACATTAACTTTTCTGTCTGGAGTAATAATGTAATTCTTGGGAAACATCTATCCTTCTGACATCTCTCCTGGCCTTGGTACAACGGTATAGGCGTCGCGGTTTGCAGCAATACGGCCAAAACTGGCCAGTTCGAAGTCGCTGTCACAGAACAATATCGTTGTCTCGACGGATCAGTGACCGCTCATCCCCGGATTCGGACGGCATGCGTCTTCGTCCGAGGCATTCTTTAGATTGATATTAGAGCGGTTCAGTTGTTTCAAATTGGTGGCTTCCCACTGAGAAACTACTCTGATGGCTTCGGCGACCGGGCGGAAAAGGGTCGAAGAAGTAACTCGCAGATTCTCTGGGGTCGTTTTCCTTTTTTGAAATAAATGGCAAAGGGGCTTCAGCGTGGGAATGCAGGAGGTCATAATAACAGTATCTGCTTCCAGTCTAGGATCGTCCCTCATTGTTAGTCTCGCATATGACTTCGAATAGAAGGAAAAGGGACAGAAGTGAGATATTTTACTTCGCCCATATTATCCACTCGCCGCTTCTGTCTGGAAGGAATCTGATGTTAGGCCTTCATGTAAATTCGGGGACATACGGTAGGGTAACAAACTCTCAAGTAGTATCGACTCTCTGTTTCAAGATTGGTAGCTGAACGCATTTGACAATCGCAATGGCGCAAGCTCTATAAAGGACAATGTGTGGTGAGAGAAGTAGACTTGGACTAAACAAAGGGGCATAGGCAAAACACACACTGAACCGAGTCCCAGTGCAGCGCAGACAGCAATTTTCTTCAAAATTAAAACTTAAGCCTCCAACGCACAACAACTGCGTACACTGAGAAGTAAAAATCCACGAACACAGACACTGCTATGCATATGGAGGCGTATCAGTAAATCTGTGACATCTTCATGTGGCTGGTTCCTACTTTGTGATGATGGGAAAATATGACACAAACCTCCATTGAAGATGAAATAGACCGTAGCGTAGAACACAAGGGGTCTCTGCACTTGGCATTCTTGATAAGCTTGTCCCAGATTGCCTGGTGAGGTTGGCCAATAGTCATGAGGACGGGGAAGCATATGCAGCCAACCAGTGTGGCAGGTCCGCTCAGGGATCCAGACCATATTACGGTGGAAAGGAGTCGGAACAAGAATCCTGTTGAGCATCGCGGCTACCACAAGCTTTAGAACTGAGATTGCAGGTATCCCGACGAGTGATCCGATCTGAGCATTGAGCCTTGAGCCGCGGATTTGCTTTGGCGTTGGTGTGTACTGTTAGTATACTTTCCAAATCCATAACTTATGAGGACGGTAACTAGTATGACATAGACAAATCTCAAGATCTTGACTCGAATGACGGGTTGGTTAGTGAGCTCATCAGCCAATGAGCGGGAATAAAAATAAAGTGACAATGAAAGTGACAATGAAAGTGACGAGGACAAGGAAAATGAAATAGAATAGTAATGTAAAATACTATAAAATTGGGAGTCCCACAGGATGAGTGGGAAATGGTGTGGTCAAGGGCCAAACTAAGGGGTTACGGTCTAGTTCTTTATATACCATAAGACAGAGTGGGTGGGCAGGAATACTGATGGGAGTTTATGAACTGGACGTGTCGGCTCGGTTGCTACCTGCCCGTCCGATTTATGCGAGAATGCATCTCGGACCCTCTGCTGGCTCATGAGAAAGGATAATATGTGCTGTGTGCTCCGCATAGAGAGACATGGAAAGTTATTTGTGCAGTACAAGGAAGCTATCGAGCTATGGGGAAGATGAAGTTGTCGCTCTCAAAACTTTGTAATTCACACTAAATCCAATCAAGAATGGCTTTCTAGCTGCGCTCCTCAGCTGCATCGACATTGATTTAGAGAACTGGAGGCCTGAGAGCAATATTCTCCTCAAACGGTGAGCCGTCAAGGTTCAACTAACCTTTGACAGAGGTTGAGCATTTGATAAATAATTATGGTCTTAGACCATTGCCTTGGGAGCACGAGGGTTTGGCAGACACGATAGGGGATGCCTACATGTCCTGACCTGGCTGGCCATAACTTTTGAGATCGTCGTTCATATCTTGTGCTGATACGCTACTCAAGTAATCTTGGTGGCTAAGTCCATTGAGACAACGAGGGTTCAATGAGGCGTTCTCGGCGGGTTACGTGGATGGGCGAGTTGCCGATTCGCTGACTCGACAATGTGAAGGAGTCTCCCATAAAGATAACAATCCTTGCTTCTCACGCAGTTCGGCCCATAGACTTCAGCCACTATTAAGGAGAAAGCGGAATATTGCAACGTTTTATTATGGAGAGCAGTTAAGATGATGAACACAAATAAAATTCTCTGAGCAGTAATCTATACAGTTCGTTGTGTCCATAGAGTTAGGAGAACCGGCACGCGAGTCGTTTGCCCAGCTTTTGGAGTCTAGTCTGGATCAGGAAGGGAGCTGTCATTAAAACGCATGTGAGCATCGTCTCCAGCCGATCTGCAGTACTTGGGGCAGATTAGAAAATGAGAGAGATGATACCTGGGGGTAAATGAATGATGGTAGAGACTCCCTATTAAATGTCAACACATCTTTTTTACAGAGAATGGAACAATTGAAGTTTTGAGTATGCCATATCGAATTCTCAGCATGGTAGGTATTGTAGACACCCATGGACGACCGGCCCGCACCGTACTGGTTTGGGGGCACTCATGGATGATTGTACTTCTAGCTGGCCAATCAGAAAGTAAATATGTGATGGTGTATCGGAGTACTTTGGGAGGTAGGAATTCCCCCGGCACTGCGTTGACCCTCGGGCCATGGACGAGAAAAGACTGTATTATGTTGTTTCACTCTCCTCGCTCGCTCCGCAAATAGGAGTCACTCTAGCGATGAAGTACATTATTGAACGTAAGTCGTAGCATCCATTAGCGTGTATCAACCTACTCAGGTACCTAGGCACTCTGAGAGCTAATTCCTGGCTGGAATTTGCAAGGGAGTCCGAATAGGTTTCCAGCGACTGGGTCCCATTCGTCGTCCCATCGCCGTTCACTTTCCCGGCGTGCACCTCGACGAAGAGTGCAGAGTTTCTCCCCGTTTCCACCAAATAAATCAACGAGGTGAGCAACCAGGTCATCAGTGCTCCCAAACCCAAGGCCGTTGACTCCCTCAGTTACCAGTTCTGGCCACGCCTCGTATTGGTTCCAGCCAACCACGGGGAGCCCAGCTCCAAACATATCAACAACTTTCATAGGTAAATCAACACCACTGCTGCTGGTATGGAGGCATACGCCTAGGGAAGCACTCGCAAGGAGCCGAGCGTAATCTTCTAAACTTAACCATGTCGATTGAATTGTCACTTTTTCAAGCTTTCCTTGGTCCATTAATTTGGCAATTCGGGAAAGGTACATTTGCTGCTGGGGGCCTTTTCCAGTTATTATGACAGCCAGCCGCGGCAGACAAAGGTTTGTTGTGGAAGCCATGGCTGAGTAACGGCATAAGGCGTCGATTAGAATCGAAAAGTCTTCGTCTGGTGTCCAAGAAGTTGAGCTGACAAGAAGGCGGCACCTTCCCGCCTTCATATCTGCAACGAATTCAGATGTCTCTGAGAGAGATGATAGGAACTTGTACCTTTTCATGTCGCTTTGAAAAGGCTGGAAAATGGATGGAGGGCGGTCATGCAAAACGAGAATCGGTGTTTTAATCTTTAAATCATCACGGAGCTGCCGCGCCATGGCATTGCTTACACAAAAATGGGCGGAAGAGAACCGACCAAAGGTGGCTTCATGGGACTTATTTATCTTGACCATCGGATGACTATCACCCAGTTTCAACGCCAGGATTGAGTACCCAAAGTTATGCCAGTCGATAACAAGCCGGGTTTTGCGAAGTTTGCAAACAATTTGCGCGATCACCAGAGTTGGAGCAGTGGGTGGGTTCTGAAACGAGCGAAACAAAATCTCAGCGGTTAGATCAGAGACGGTTTCATCTAAGAAAAACTGGTGCAAAACACATGGAAGAGGATAAAATGAACAAGGGAAAAGGGAGCGTGTTGATGGCAACTGACCTGGACCAACATCCATTGCGCCGGGTTGGAGTGATATGCCAAGGCAAGCCATAAGCACCATGTTTGGTGCAGCAGCTTCAAAGCAGCAAGGAACGGAAACAGATATTTGTTGTGGGTTTGTAGGAAGCTTGGGGGTGAGGCCAAGGGTATGATGGAAACTCTAGGGTGCTCGGCCAAATCCGGGTGGACATTGGAACCTTTATACTCACAACGCACAGTCAATATTTATTATCACAAAGGAGCGTTCATCGCGCTGTTAGTAGAAAAATATAAATAAATAAATAAATAAATACCTGCATATCCGATGACTGATACAATCCCGCCATGTTTTGCGAAACTCAATGCATGGTACTGCATCCGTGGGCTGCGACCAATATCTCCAAGCACGACGATCTGAACAGATGGAGGCTCGGGAATGTGACCTTCTAACTTCGATAAGGAGGGTGGAGACGTAGGCCTTTTTCTCTCATAGCGAGATGGCAAGACAAGTATCAACGCTGGTATAGAAATGGCCAGGAAGAGCGCTGCTGCCCCCACGATAAGCGTCAACATTTCTGCAAGGAATTGCCAGAACGAGCGGACTGCATTGAGCAACGAGCGTAGGTAGATTTCATTCTCCGGATATATATTCCGAAAGAAAATCTTCAGCTGGAGCCAGACAGATGAGCAATCAATCCCTCTCCGGGTAATGGATATGTTGCGCCGATAAAACGCCAGGATCCACGCTTTCCTTTTCTGGGATTGTTCAAATTTGTCGGTAAATTATTATTCCGCTCCAACTACATCGACATATCGGCATGCCGAGCTGATTCCCCCGGCATGCCGAATTCTGGGTATTGGGATGGATGCGGTCAGAGCTAAAGTAGTTTACCGCGCTTCCCCCATTATTATCATTAATAACCGTAACTTAAACAAAAAAGAATTACTGGGTGGGCTAAATTAAATGGAAACCAACAAGTCAACACGCTAATCCAAAACGCCAAGCAAGATTTGTGAAGAAAATGCCCCAAGCAATGGCCAATGGGAGCTGTGGAGAGCCGCACGGGATTGGATGGATTATTAATCACTTCCCGAGGCCACAAGGTCAAACAACCGAGAGGTCATGTGACCTCGTGTCAACCTGGAGGCCAACAACGGTCGATACGCAGACAAGGAACTGGAGGATAAGGAGAATAATAGACGGCCAAGTGCGAAGGACTGTCCGGAAGTTGGGATTTTCTCGAACGGTATCACATTGGATACAGGTGGTAGGATTCGCCTTGACAATTGACAATCGACAGACTTCCTAGCAATCCGCTATTGCGCTCTCGTCACACAACTGCCAGCACCACCGACCGTCTAACGTTTTGTTGGCAATATTGGTCTCGTTTATGATATGATGGAGACGATTGTATAATGTCCGTGCCCTCATATCCTCCCATGGCCAATCTTGACCGGGGTGGCCTCCAACCACCCCCGCCAGGCCATCGGCGCTCTCGCGGCGGCTATGTTCCACATGGCCAGAAGTCGCTCTCGATGACCCATCCAGGGTCCCTTGCCCCTTCGTCTAGCAACTTATCGGCCCATTCAAACTTGCAACACCATGTGAGCGACTCTGTCGTAGAGCCGACAACCCATTCGCTTGTCAGACATGCTCGTCATTACTCGGAAGGACCCTCGGGCTCATCAAATATTTCGAACGATGTATCTGCGCGGGCCGATAGCTGTGATATGGTCAATGGAAATGGCAGTCCATCGCCGGGGTTTTCGTTGGGTGCTTCGACCGCTACAATGCGCGGGGATAGGCGTTTCATGTCTGAGAGTTCAGAACAATCAGCCACTCTCTTGAGCAAGTCAGTTTTTAGTTGAATTGCGAAGGACATGGTGCATGAATACTGACCAGATATGCGCATCCAGGCTTTTTGCGAGTGAAATCTTTGCCGGTATACTAGTCTCGGTTCCATACCTGATATTTTCAGCGTTCATGGCTACATATTACTCAACCCACGACTCCGGAGGAGAGTTCCGCGACGAGTCTGTAGAATCTGGCCAGGCACCCCCTCTTTCTCCAAAGAGGAGAGAGTTTCTCAGCACTTGTGCATTGACCTCGATAACGATGCTGATAATGGGCCTCCATACTGAGCTGCGAATGAAAAACCAGTTGCGTCTCCTGAGTGACCCTACAGCCAAAGCGAAATCAGCTGGTGGGACTATACCGACCGTCCGGCATACTATCCTTATGACGATATCCATAGGCCTGCCATTTTATGCTTCTCTGCTTCTTGATCATGGCAGGGTCGTTATCGTCATGCTACTCTTGCTAGTCTCCAGATTGGCCCCAATTATTCAGCTTGATCATGACAGCTATGAGCAGAAACAATCCCGATTCCATTTAACACAACGCAAAGGGACAGCTTGTTTCCTGCTTGGAATGATGGTTCTCGACACCGCGGGATTCACAACATCCATTGACTGGCGGCTGGTTCTCAGAGGATATCTTGCACTTTTGCTCTCAGTATTTATTATCCAGCCTCCTTTTGCAAAACCACAAAATCGTCCTTCAATAGTTCATTCCAAGGGGCCAACTTACGAGCCCGCGGTTTCTGATTCTGCCCCTCCAGTCCAAAGTAGCCTATTGCCGGAATCAAGAGCCGCCGCTGCAGGCTCCAATCTATATTTCCGAGTTGGCAGCATTTTAGCAGTTTCCTGCTTCCTCATTGGTTATGTAACTGGCGGTATCCATATCACCCTAGCGGCCTTAGTGATTACATTGATAACTGCGTTGCTCTCAGCTATATCCTTTCTATATATCGAGCGGTCAACATTCCAAAGTAAACATCAACTAGCCTTTATTGCAGGATCCGGTTCCACTATTATGGTTAACGCTGTTATATCCCACATGGAAGTTTTAGAAATTGCACTAGCATGCTCTTTCATTGTTGTTGGCTATATTTTAGTTCACCTAGATCTTAGGGCAGCACAACAAGATGTCCATGGCCATTCTCATGCTGTGCACGGACATGGACATCATGGGCATCACCATGCTGACCACCACAAAAGTGAGACCGGTCCGACTCGAGTAACCAGATGGCTTTTGAAGTCGTTTGACCATTGGCCTTTCATATATGGGATCCTTAAAGAAAAAGACTCGCGGAGAATATTCTATTTCATGTGGTACGTTCCTCCAGGAAACAGTATATATTCTACCCACTCTGCTAATGCTTCTTCACATGTTACAGCCTTAATTTTGGATTCATGCTTGTTCAACTATCTTATGGAATCTTAACCGGCTCGCTGGGCTTGCTTAGCGATAGCATTCACATGTTATTTGACTGTTTCGCACTCGCAGTAGGCCTTTCTGCCGCTGTGATGAGTAAATGGCCGCCAAGTGTAAGATTTCCATACGGATACGGGAAGGTAGATACGTTGGCTGGCTTTGCCAATGGCGTGTTTCTCATGTAAGTCCTTGCATAACTGTAGCGTGCAAAAAAATATGTTGCTAATAAAGCATTACAGGATTATTAGTATTGAGATTGTCTATGAGGCCGTCGAAAGGCTCATGTCTGGAAGCGAGGTCCAGAGGATAGGGGAGCTTCTTTTCGTCGGCGCTGCTGGGCTGGCAGTCAACATGGTGGGAATAATGGCGTTTGACCACGGCCACCACCATGGACACTCTCACTCCCACGGTGGCCATGACCACGGCCATTCACACTCAAACGAAAACATGCATGGGATTTTCCTCCACATCTTAGCCGATACCCTTGGGTCCGTTGCAGTGGTTCTGTCGACAATCCTCGTGCATTTTTACAAGTGGTCTGGATTCGACCCAATTGCCTCATGTCTAATAGCCATTCTCATTTTTGTCTCTGCCATACCACTGGTGGCTAGCACGTCGAAAACCTTACTGCTCGCCCTCCCCGCGGATGTTGAATACGGGCTACGCGATGCCTTAGCTGGTGTCAGCACCCTGCGTGGCGTGGTTGGATATTCCGTTCCGAAATTCTGGTTAGACGATACCGTTCACGATCATCAGCATAAACATGACCACCACGGCCACCATCACGGCCACCATCATGGCCACGACCATAGCCATCATTCCCACACCCATCCCCACGATGACAACCACTGTAATGGCGACAAGCATTCCCACGAACACGCCCACGGGCATGGCGGGTCCGGCCAACGAATACTGGGAGTGATGCATGTGATTGCGTCTCGCGGGGCGGATATGGAGGACGTCCGGCGTCGGACGATCAGCTACCTAAGCGAACAGGGCATAAATATCCTAGTTCAGGTAGAGCGCGAGGGCGAGAACCGGTGTTGGTGTGGCACTGGGAATATGCCGATGAATTGATATGCTTTCGTGTAACAACTACGGATGTATGTACGTGTGGGATGCTATATTTCGAGGCATATATGTTTTCCTTTTTCCTGTCCCTTTTTTTTCCCTTCTCACTGTTGATTTTATTTGCCTTGTTTCTTTCCTGCATTGTATTCTCTGGTTTTGATCTTTCCATTCATAAGTTTTTGAAGATTTTTATAGTCCTCTGAGGATACCCCCAAATTCTCCGCTGCCATCAACAGCATTATATACACTCATATTTATATTTTACTTTGTTCTAGCTATCTGTGATAGTGATAACAATGACGACAATAATAACTTGAATGATCTGCAAGTGGAGTAATTGAAGTAAGATTTAAGAACTGAAGAAACAACTTTGACATACTAGGCTTTGAAATCTAAGAAATATCAAAGAACAGGCAATTTATTTGTGTGTGCAAGATTTGTGTTTGCAGTTTGGAATATTAAATTATCATTGAATGCTCACAAATATATTGAATACAGTAAAGCATTGATATGTTGTTCCTGCATCAGCAGAGAACATGACTAACTACAATCTCAAAAAAGCTGTAAGAAGATATAATACCATTGTCAATAGATTCCGAGTCACTTCACATGATCTGACATGATCTACACATTTGTAGCTTCACAATGGAAATATACTCATATGAATGAAGATATGTTATTCAAATTGTGTGATAACAGGAATTTTACACAACAAGCCTTCTTCCCTTACAAAATGGAATCATCTGCTCTCCATTGGATTGTGATACAATAATAGATTTTGTTCAATGGTATTGCATGGTAGAACGCTAAAACATTGTATAAAATGAGAATGACATAATATTTACAGTTCATCTAAGCTCCATACATACACATAAATATATAAAAACAGCGCATAGACAAGGTTGTAAAATTCCCCTATCTTTACTCGACGCCCTCCACTCTCTGGACGACAACGGCCGTGGCGGCTCCGCCACCGTTGCAGATGGCAGCGAGACCGTACTGTCCTGGCTTCAACTGGTGAAGCAAACTGGTGAGAATGCGCGAGCCAGAGCTTCCAAGAGCATGGCCCAAGGAGATGGCGCCACCAAGGGGATTGACAGTGGCGTTCTCGAGGCCAAGAATCTACACGACACAGGCAATGCAATGGTTAGATGTGGTTTACAAGAGCAAATTAGGAGTTTCACATCCAAGAAGCGCAACAACAACATACCTTCTCGTTTGCTTTAATGACGGCAGCGAACGCTTCGTTGAATTCCCAGATGGAGATCTGGTCCTTGGTCAGGCCCGCTCGCTCCAGGGCGATGGGAACGGCCTTGGCGGGTGCCACGGGGAAGTCAATGGGCTCCATGGCGGCATCTGCGGACGAGACGATACGGGCAAGCACCCTGCTGGAAGCACCGTACTGCTGCGCAATCTGCTTATTGGTAATAACTAGCGCGGAGGCGCCGTCGTTGAAGGTCGAGGCATTGCCGGCCGTGACGCTTCCTGTGCCATCGCGGACAAAGGCAGGCTTGAGCGACTTCATCTTCTCCTCACGGAGATCCTCGAAGCCCTCATCCTTAGTCACAACGGTGTCGCCCTTCTTGCCCTTGACGGTAACGGGGGCGATCTCGTCGTCGAATTTCTTCTCCGCCCACGCCTTCTGCGCGCGCTTGTAGGATTGCACGGCGTACTCGTCCTGCTGTTCACGGGTGATTTCGTATTTCTTTGCTGTGTTCTCCGCGCACACGCCCATGTGGAGTTGGTTGTAGACGTCCCAGAGGCCGTCTTTGATCAAGCCATCCTCTAGTTTCATGTTGCCAAATGGTGCTTGTTGGGTAGATCGCGGGAGGTAATATGGCACTCTGGACATGTTTTCCATTCCACCGGCAACCTGTGCCTCCGCAAGACCGAGCTGGATGTTCTGTGCAGCAAGAACGACGGCCTTTAAGCCTGAGGCGCAGACTTTGTTGATGGTGATGGCCTCGACGGCGGGGGACAGGCCGGCGAAGATGGCAGCTTGTCTTGCGGGAGACTGGCCGATAGATGCTTGTAGGACGTTACCCATGTAAACATCTGTGATTTTTTCGACGGGAACTCCAGACTTCTCGATGGCGGATTTGATGGCTACGGCGCCTAGCTCGGGAGCGGGTACGGTAACGAAGGAGCCATTGAACTGGTATAGTTAGCTTTTGTTCTCCTTGTTTGTCTTCTCCTTGCTCGAGTCCTCAGAATCCCGTAGATATATGCAAGAACATACCTTGGCAGTTGGTGTACGGGCAGCACCCAAAATATAGGCCTCCTGTATTTGCTTTTGGCAGGAGCTGGAGGAAGAAAATTGTCTCTGGATCTGGCCCAGTCTCTGTGATGATCTCGTCATTGAGGCAAATCTGGAGGCTGCTCTGAGGGAGGACTGCATCGTGGATGAACCGGATATCTAGCTATGCGATGGTGGGTATATGTAGGGTGGACGCTTGATGGTTTAAGGGAAGAGAACTCAAGCGCTGCTAGACAACAACCAAACGAGAAGACTAAGGAGTGAAGGAGGTTGTCCAAGTGAAAACAGACGAAATATACAATAACAAAAATAGAGACGTATTTGCTGGTGGAGCTGGCGGAGGAGGAGTTTGCGGAGGGCGTCGGAGAAAACCCGGGCTGGTGGTGGGGGAAATTCGCGGGACAAGTTGCGCTGGTGAGTTAGCTCCGCCAACACTGTGTAAGTGACACCAGCTTCCCCGAAGATAAACGAGATATTCGACGACAGCAAGAGCCCAATTAGCTGGTGATTATTCTGGTGTCATCCATCTGAGATGATTTATATCTTGTTCTTTTCCTTGTCTTTCAGTCCTCCCAACCAGCGTTGCCGTGACTAAGCGCGTATGTCACGTGTATATCCCTTGGACCTCGGCTACAATTTATATTTCGTGGATCGGAATTACTATTGTACGAAATTCAACCTTCGCATAACTGGCTTATATAATCGCGAGATAAGCACTCTCTGCCAAGCCATGCCAAGTCATGCCAAGCTGTTGTCCCCGGCCCGCCGCCATCGCCTGCTCTTCTTCAGATGACGAGACAAAGCTGTGGCTACATATTCTACGTTACGGGATTTCTTCCATCGTCCATCCTACATCTTGCATCGTCTATCTGGCATCACCCTTTTTCACTCACTACTTATCGCTATATATATCCTGCTTCATCACTCGAGCAACTTGAGCCTCCATCCACTCCTCTCTCTCTCTCTCTCTCACTCTCACTCTCTCTCTCACTCACTCTCTCTCTCTCTCTCTGTCCAGGTACTCATTCCACCTCGCTCACTTGGCCCCCATCCAATCCCCCCTCCTGCCGGCCAAGCTACCCCCTTCCTCTCCCTTCTGCCCCGGTGTACCGCTATCTCCGCCCTACTAGACGTCTTTACGGTCTTTTTTTACTCCATATATCCATCCTTTCCTTTCCTGTACATTCGCCATGTCCACAGCTGCTCGCCGTCGCCTGATGCGGGATTTCAAGGTACCGTCTTCGACATATTTATATAAATATATCTCCCATTCCAACATGCCAGCATGCTTATCCCTACCTCTCTGAATAGCGTATGCAAACAGACCCCCCAGCCGGTGTCTCCGCCTCCCCCGTAGCAGATAATGTCATGACCTGGAACGCCGTCATTATCGGTCCGGCCGACACACCCTTCGAAGACGGCACATTCCGCCTCGTCATGCATTTTGAAGAACAGTACCCAAACAAGCCACCCGGAGTAAAATTCGTCAGCCAAATGTTCCATCCCAACGTCTATGGCACCGGTGAACTGTGCTTGGATATACTACAGAACCGCTGGAGTCCAACGTATGACGTCGCTGCTATCTTAACTAGTATCCAAAGGTATTATTTTTCTCTCACATTAGCTATTTTTTTTTAAAGGCAATCTCTCTGCTTAAAAGGATAAATTAGTAAAACTAAACTAAACTTATATTTCCATCCAGTTTGCTCAACGACCCCAACACATCCTCGCCCGCTAACGTGGAGGCTTCTAATCTTTACAAAGACAACCGCAGGGAATATACTAAACGGGTACGGGAAACGGTAGAAAAGAGCTGGGAGGATTGATGGCTGAAACCTGACAAACTACCGGTTTCTGCCGGCGTACATGGATGGGTGGGCACAGTATATACAAACGGATCATCTCCTCTTTTGCTCTTCTACTACTATCAGAATGGTGTGGCAACTACTGCACTTGCCTCTTCCTATTGGCACTGCCGCTTACTACCGATTTCTATCCCACTCTCCATCCCTCTCTCATGCCATAAATGCAGATGGCCTGGAGGGTATTTTGATCTATACCTTACTACTGTGTCGTTTGTTGTGTCGTTTCCTTGTTTTAACTTGATCTTATTCTCACAGCATGGGGTTTTGGCGCTTGCTGTTTTTTCTTTTTCTTTCTTCATTTTTTTCTTCAGTTTATATTTACGTGTATCTGTTCTACTTTTGTTTTTTCTTTCCGGCATGGCTTAGCCCCTCACTAGCCCGTTCATATTCTCATTATTTCTTGTGCTACTTAACTGCTAAATAGTAGGAAATGGTTGGACCTTAAAATGAACTTCCAGTTCACACTGCCGATAACTCGCCGGTTATGTAGAAATATCGAGACGTAAAAAAAAAAAAAAAACGGAAAGGAAAAAGGAAAAAAGCAAAAAAGGAAAAGGAAAATGCAGGGCTCATAAGGCTGCATGGGATTCCCATGGGTTGATCAAAAGTATACAGCCCGTGGTGCAGACTGTACATGTATAACCGTGCCAAACGCGACTCACTACCACTAGAGAGAGTGAGTGCGCTTGGCACGGTTAATAAATATCTTCCCGATAAGAATGATGCATGAATTATGCTCTGCGTAGAGTTTATGGGAACCAAACGTTTTTGTTTACACGTTTTTCTCATGGAATATTTCCCGTTCAACAACAATATATTATTGCAAAGGTGGTATGCACAAGCTTCTAAGCATTTCTAATGGATTTCTGCAAGGCGAGGGAGGGGCAAGAGGGTAGAAGGTTAGTTAATGTGCTGTCGACATTATCAGCCACCGCACAGGAGAAAATGTGTGGAGGAGTTTGTTTGGTGAGCGGCCTTCAACAAAGTAAATAGTTGAATACATGTCAACAGGGTATATGAGTACATATATATGAATACTGTGATATGTAGAGACAACCACCACACGTTAGATTACATCCCCTGACGTGTTTCAGGTTGCTATATCTGGTAATCCGCGTCAGGGTAGGACATTCATGTGTGCCATACCATATTTACCCCGTAACTAATCTGTACAGAGCACATCGAGTCCGATGCCAAGCCGTGTGTCAACAAAGGCTAATCACCAAATCACATCACTCCAGTCTCACACCACATCTATCCATCTACACACCTCTCTATCATTGTCCTGGCCGTGGAGCTCCCCGACCATACCATTCTTACCTCGCCCTCCTCTCTCCCTGGTCTCTCGCGGCAGCGCTTTCAACGCGTCAATCAACCAAACCAACCCAACTCGCAGGCGGAAAGCCTCTGGCTCGTTAAGCCAATATACACGCTCTTCCCCCCGTCTCCTCCGCCATCTCCTCCTCCTCCTCCTCCACCACTTCTTGGACTCTACGGGGCTATCGCTCAATAGCCCTGCTTGGGGAGATACAACTACAGCCTGCCCTTCGTGGGCTTGGTCCCTTTTCTTTTTTGCTCTTGTCCTGTTCGCGTGAACATAAGGTGAACGGTTACCGGCGATTGTCTGTCGAGATAGAAGCCAGCAATCATGGCGTACGTCAAACTATATAGTTGCCTCCAAAATTCGCCCCATTTCCTACACTTGATCCCCTTTGTCATATATTTGGTTTAGCTATCCTATCAATGTCAATGGTATCCGTGGTGCGATTGCTGATTTTCACACCTGCAGTTCGAGCGGGTCGGGCAGTACCAACACCATCAAGGGTATGATAACAACTCCATTCTCATTATTGTTATTGTTATTTATTTTTCCCATCCATGCCCTTGGAGTATACAATACTTATGCTCATGCATCGATATAGTTGTTGCCAGATTCCGGCCCCAGAATAAAATCGAACTCGCCAGTGGGGGAGAGCCCATTGTCGAGTTCGAAAGTGAGGATACATGCAGGATAAATGTAAACATCGAGGGGTTCCTTTTGTTATTTTTTTTTTTTTTTTTTATTATTTCTAGATATTTTTATTTTCTTTCTTTCTTATTTTTTTTTTTTTCCCTTTTCATCTTTATATCCTCTCCCCCTCTCTGTTGCTGTATCTCATCAGATATCGACTAAACCTTGTTCTTTTGGAATAATAGTCTAAAGAGGCCGCGGGGGCCTTCACCTTCGACCGCATCTTCGGCATGGACTCCCAGCAACAAGACGTCTTCGACTTCTCCATCCGCCCCACTGTCGACGATATCCTCAATGGCTACAACGGAACCGTCTTCGCCTACGGGCAAACCGGTGCTGGAAAGTCCTATACAATGATGGGCTCGGATATCGACGATGATGTAGGAAAGGGTATTATCCCACGTATCGTCGAACAGATGTTCGCCAGCATCCTTGCAAGTCCCGGAAACATCGAGTATACAGTTCGCGTGAGCTATATGGAAATCTATATGGAGCGCATTCGGGATCTCCTGGTGCCACAAAACGACAACCTCCCCATCCACGAAGAAAAGTCCCGCGGTGTTTACGTCAAGGGCCTACTGGAAATTTACGTCTCCAGCGTGCAGGAGGTCTACGAAGTTATGCGCAGGGGCGATGCGGCGAGGGCTGTAGCTGCAACCAATATGAACCAGGAGTCTTCGCGGTCCCATTCGATTTTCGTCATCACTATCACGCAGAAGAATGTGGAAACGGGCTCTGCAAAGAGCGGCCAGCTATTCCTCGTCGACTTGGCGGGTAGCGAGAAGGTCGGTAAGACAGGCGCGAGCGGCCAGACACTCGAGGAAGCCAAGAAGATCAACAAGAGCTTGAGCGCGCTGGGTATGGTTATCAATTCGCTGACGGACGGCAAATCGACGCATATCCCCTACCGGGACTCAAAACTTACGCGGATCCTGCAGGAGAGTTTGGGTGGTAACTCGCGGACGACTCTAATCATCAATTGCTCCCCCAGCAGCTACAACGATGCAGAAACAATTAGCACGCTCCGCTTCGGAGTACGCGCCAAGGCAATTAAGAACAAGGCAAAGATTAACGCTGAGCTAAGTCCCACAGAGTTGAAGATGTTACTTAAAAAGGCCCAGACGCAGGTTGTCACCTTTGAGACTTATATTACCGCTCTCGAGTCGGAGGTTCAAATCTGGCGGGCTGGGGAGACGGTGCCGAGGGAACGGTGGACGCCTGCTAGAACTGCTGATGGGCTGAGTAGCATGAGGGCTGAAGCACGGGGACCTCCTCGTCCAGGGACGCCGTCTCGCCTACAGACGGATATCTCAAGATCGGAGACACCCAGCCGACCCGATTCGAGGATAGGCGAACGTTCCAGCACGCCTAGCATCCTGCTTGAGAAAGACGAGCGGGAAGAATTCCTGCGACGGGAGAATGAGCTGCAGGATCAACTCGCGGAGAAAGAGACGCTTATTGCCAACGTAGAGAAGGATCTCATAGAGAAGAAGGAGGAGTTAAAATTTCTCAAGGAGAATACGATCCGGACGGGTAAGGATAATGAGAAACTTAACACCGAGGTCAACGAGCTGCGGATGCAGTTGGAGAAGGTCTCATATGAGAGCAAGGAGGCGTCTATTATCATGGATACGCTTAAGGAGGCCAACTCTGAACTCACGGCCGAACTCGATGAGCTGAAGCAGCAACTTCTCGATGTCAGAATGAGCGCCAAGGAAACCAGCGCCGCTTTGGATGAGAAGGATAAGAAGAAAGCCGAGCGCATGGCTAAGATGATGGCTGGGTTCGATCTGGGGATGAACGTGTTCTCGGACAATGAACGGAAGATCCAGAAGCTGGTTGAGCGGGTGGAGGCGTTACAGGCATCCAGCAGCTCTGGGGAACCCATTGCAGCTGATGCTCTTACTGAGTTCAGGACCAGCCTGATCGAGGCTCAAGGATTTGTTCGCCAGGCGGAGTTGACTGTGAATGACCGAAGCACCTACCAGGAGTTGCCGGACAACAAACGGGTGGAGCTTGAGGACCGGATCGCAGAGCTTCAAAAACGGTATGAGGAGGTGCTCGAAAACGGCCTGAGCAAGGACGACGTAGAAGAAATCAAGACTCGCCTGGGCCAGGCATATGAGGACCGACAGGAGCATGAATCGAAGATGGTCGAGGAGCTTCGAAGCGAATTAACACGACGGGGCGAGGAGCTAGAACGATTGCGACAATCTCTTACTGAAGCGCAGTCCCGTGGTGGTCCTATCAATGGCAGCGGCGGGCCCACCGTTAACAGCAAGACGCTACAGCAGCAAATCGCAGACTTCGACATCATGAAGAAATCTCTAATGCGCGACCTGCAGAACCGGTGCGAGCGGGTAGTGGAGCTTGAGATCTCACTCGACGAGACCCGCGAGCAGTACAAGAACGTGTTGCAGTCGTCGAACAACCGGGCGCAGCAGAAGAAGATGGCGTTCCTAGAGCGGAATCTGGAGCAGCTGACGCACGTCCAGCGACAACTTGTGGAGCAGAATGGCAGCCTGAAGCGCGAGGTGGCGATTGCGGAGCGGAAGCTGATTGCACGCAATGAGCGCATTGAGAGCCTTGAAACTCTCTTGCAGGATAGTCAGGAGAAACTTACGGCGGCGAACCATCGGTATGAATTGAATCTCTTAATAATCCGTATATAAAACAAAACGTGCATAGCTAACTTTCTATGTTTCCTATAAACAGCTTCGAAGCGCAACTCACAGCCCTCAAGGAACGTCTGGAAGCAGCCAAAGCAGGCTCAACACGCGGCCTCCCATCCTCAGAGGGCGGGGCATTCAGCTTTGGCGGGTCTCGGATAGCCAAACCTCTCCGTGGCGGCGGAGGAGCTGTCGACTCGAACGGCGCGCTCGTGAATCCGACGCTGTCTGGCCTGCAGTCGCAGGATGCCTCCGGGTCCGGGTCGGGAGGCGCCAAGCGCACCAGCTGGTTCTTCGATCGGCGATGATGATGATGAACCAGGATTCGCTGTGGCCAGTTTGGCCGCCCCTGACTAGGATGGCGTTGTTTGATGTAGGTCGCGATGAGGCTGCGGTGAACCAGTCGGTGTTTTTTATGTTGTATGTGATGTTGCCGCTGATGATGTCGTCGGCATCTCCGTCGGCGCGGGGGAGGAGATGAATCTAGTCCATGACGGGCAGGGGAAAAGGCGGAAAGGCAACAACAGCTTGATGTGTTGTCAGCTTTTGCCTTGATGAGCGTCACAGCGGTTGTGGAGCGTAAGTTTTGGCTCCGGCTTCACGATGATTGTTTCATTGTAGATAGATTCAATTTTATTCCCTTTCGTTTGTCCTTTCTCCCCCCCTTTTCCCCTACTCTCACACCGTTGTCGTTCGGATTTTGGCTGCGCTCTCTCTTTTTTGGGCTTATTTTTGGACTACCATCACATCACGGGCTAGAGCTTCTTTACCTCTCTACCGTTATATGTTATCTTCCAGAACCATGATGATTTTTCTCCTTTTTAAATAATGTGGACGAAGGATATTTTTTTTATGTTTTTCGTGTTAGTGTTCCTATTATCTAGCTCCAGCGTCTGGAACAAAATCCAGGATAGACAACTTATATAGTCAGATATCTCTCTGCATTGATGTCATTGTTGTTTCCAGGTTAGGCCGTGTTGACGTCACATGACAAGGGGTCCCAAGACCCAACCCCTCGTATGGGTTGGATAAAGGAGACCTTGATAGACACCAACATCGGGATAGCCATCGTGCACTTGGGGCTGGCCTGGCTCATCCGCTCACTCCAGATAGCATATTAGATTCACTACAATCGCCTGACTGCGCATAGATCATCAAATTACCACTCTGTATCTATACAATGGGTGCAGGCCAGTCCAAGGAGGCCGCTGCGGAGGCTGTTGACCACGAGAAGCAGGAGATTGCAAAAGGCATGTCCAAGTTGGAGGTGTCGGAGAGGATGCAGGAAGGCCTGGAGTCGGGCTATGTTTATGTTGATGAGGAACGTGAGTACAGTACATCCCAGGCTTGTAACATTCTCAATGTCAAACAGGCGGCTGATTGTGTCATACTATCCTATCCGTATAGCCCCGGCCTACTCCTCGTCGGGAAGGGAGATCGATTTGTCCATATCAGAGACGAGGCGTTGGAAGAAGGAATTGCTGGCAGATCCCAAGGTAAGCGACAAGTAACATGCTACGCGCATTCATACTATATTTAACTAGATGTTATAATGTTAATATCGCCATAGAACCGCCTCGCCTTATATGCTCTGTCCGCCAACTCCCCCACCACCATCATAGCCAATCACGCAGCAAAAGTTGCAGATGCTCAGGTCTTCAACGTCAAGATCCCGCTCGAGGGCTCGCCGATCACCAACCAGTACTCTTCGGGCCGCTGCTGGCTGTTCGCGTCGACCAACGTGTTCCGCGTGGCTCTGATGAAGCTGTACAATCTGAAGAGCTTCGAGTTGAGTCAAACATATCTATTCTTTTGGGATAAGATTGAAAAAGCCAATTGGTTCCTGGAGCATGTCATTGACACGGCCGCTGAGCCGCTGGATGGTAGGTTGGTGCAGAGCCTAATGTCAAGTCCCGTGTCGGATGGCGGCCAGTGGGATATGGTCACGAATTTGGTTGGGAAGTATGGCTTGGTATGTACGTTTCATGTTTCACTGGAGCCTACTACGTTTATGAAACAACGGAAATTAATTTGATAAATACGTAGGTTCCCAAAGAGTTGTGCCCTGATTCCTATAATGCGAAAAACAGCTCCTTCCTGGGCAAGCTCGTCACCACAAAGCTGCGTGAGGATGCGCTTGTCCTGCGTAAAATGGCAACGAGCGAGGATCCTTCTACCAGGGCGTCCATCGGCGACGCGAAGAAAAAGTTTCTACAAGAAATCCATTCAATTCTGACCATTTTACTTGGACCGGCACCGTACCCTCAACAGAGATTTCACTGGGTGTATTACGATGCGAATGGCAAATTTCACAAACTATCCACGACGCCCTTGGACTTTGCATCGAGTCTTTCAAGTAGTGAAGGGCTTAGGGCATGTGAGGGGACGGATGTGAATGAGCTTTTTAGCTTGGTCAATGATCCAAGGAACCCCTACAAACGGTTATTGACTGTGGATCGGCTGGGTAATGTTGTCGGTGGCCGACCGGTAACTTATGTCAATGTTAATATGGAGGTAAAGTGTTCTCTGTCACTCCACAAAGTAACGAAGCGTTTATAGAAGTGCTTACAAAACATATTCCCGCAGACAATGAAAGCTGCCGCGATCGCCATGCTCAAAGCGGGCATCCCTGTCTTCTTCGGCAGCGACGTGGGGAAATACTCCAGCTCCTCATCAGGAATCATGGATACTGCCTTGTATGATTACTCTCTGGGCTTCAACGTCAATCTAGGCATGAGCAAGGCCGAGAGATTGCAAACGGGCGAGTCATCCATGACGCATGCCATGGTTCTGACGGCCGTGCACATTGGGGACGACGGCAAGCCCGTGCGCTGGCGTGTGGAGAACTCATGGGGCGATGACAAGGGCGACAAGGGCTGGTTCGTTATGACGGATAAATGGATGGATGAGTTTGTGTATCAGGTTGTTGTTGACCTGCAGTTTGTGAGCCAGGAGGTGAGGGATGTGTTGAAGCAGACGCCGATAAAGCTGCCGCTATGGGACCCGATGGGGGCCCTGGCTTGAGTGATATGATATCTACGATTACTACTTCTGGTGGTGTTTTCAAGGTCGTCTGTTGAAATTTCGGGGTTTCTTTATATGTTTCAGCGAATTATACCTTTCTACTCGATTAATTGTTAGAGACTGGTGTTTGAGAGCCCCTGGATGGTGTGGCGTCTCTGTTAGAGCTATATATTGTCTTCATACCTGCCAGAATTTCCGGGTCATGGGCTCTTTTTCGTCTTATTATTATTTTTTGTTTTTCTATTATTAAAATACAGGTGTTGAAACCACACCAAGATAACAAGAAACATAGGAAATACAAAGAGTGACAATTTGAGACTTGCAAATACATGCATCCTAGCCCAGGATTGAGAGAAAATTTATGTAGCTATTTAGTAACTACACCTCTGTATTTTGAGATGCTTGAGTTCTGATTTTTCAATCTTGACCTGTTGATGTTTCCCCCTGCGAGGTTTGAACCCGCACGCCTTGGCAGCCCTAACTACAGCAGTTATATGTCTCACTCACATTTTATATATGAAAACCTTGCTAGTAAATTATAATATAACAACATTGTCTTCTACATTTTACTTAGTCCCGATCATGTCTTAGCTTTAACTTATGATCACTTTGGTCCCGGTGGGACTCAGGCCAAGAAACGTAACTTATGGGACCAGACCAGTCTTGCAACACCCCCAAGGTGGCGGCCGCTGCAGAAGCTTGCCCCGCTTACATCAGCTGGTCCGGCCTGCCCCGCGATCACATGCCTGTCGTGTCGTGTATTTTCTCGACTCCACCAGAGCTCGATGACAAGACTTCCAGACAACTCGCAGCTCGCAAGAACTAACACACGTCTAACGTCAATTCTCGTCTCGCAGCTTTCGAGCAGGTTGTCCGATCCATTACTCTCCTTTGCAGCTATAGATTAGCTAGTCATTCCCTTCGCATCTACCTCCCTTCCCTTTTAGCCTACCTCCTCCTCGTCTCCCACCCACCCCTACCCATAGCGAGGTCGCGAGCTTCCTAACACCAAGCGGAGTCATAAATCATAATGAGATCCTAATTTCGAAAAGTACAATGAGCTGGTTGAGCTCAAGCAACGCCGTACTCCATCCACTGTGCCTGTCTCATATTCACAGCCAGCTGCATTTCGGATCTATAACAGCGGTGCTACTACCTTGGAAGGAGACGCATTACCTATAAAAGCCGACTGCTGGAGAGGTGTTCTTTGCAGCATCCATGGGGAAGCCTCCAGCAGTTATCATCATTGCGAGGTTCGTACGATTGTATTTTACTTCCTACCCTGCTGCCCAACGCTTGGTGGGGGTGAGAGATCTATTTGCTAATGGAGCATTAGGCATGGCGCCCGGTTGGATGCGGTGGACAAACAGTGGCATCTAACATCACCTACCCCGTACGATCCTCCTCTTACATATGGCGGTTGGAATCAATCCCGCGCACTCGGTATTCGGATAGGTAACCTGCTTCGAGCTAGAGAAGAGCCTGTCACCCCTCAATCATCCAACCCATATGGAAATAATAGCGTGGAGGATAAGGCGGCGGTAGTGGGGGGTAACAATGGCGAGGGTAATCAATCGGGCACACCAAGACAGGCCAGAAAGCAGAGAATAATTATCCATACTTCTCCCTTTCTCCGCTGCGTGCAAACCGCTATCGGAGTGAGTGCCGGCATGAGGCTAAGCAAAAATTCCCCTCTGAACCGCAGTCAATCTTCACCATATAAACATCACCGGTTGCATTCGGGTTCCCCCGTCACGCGAGGCAGCGACTCAAACCAGCTTTCAGCCATCCCAGAACCAAGCATTAGCCTTTCCCTGTCCAGGCTAGCCATCGAACCGACTGAAACCCCCGTTCCAAAATACAAACTGCGGCTTGACGCATTTCTCGGAGAATGGCTCTCTCCGGACTACTTTGAGCAGATTTCGCCTCCTCCAAGTTCTGTGATGATGATTGCGGGTGCAAAAGCGGAACTTCTGCGTCGTGGAGAACCAATCGAAGCTGGTATTGAGGCTGGTGGGAAATCAATGTTTGGCCACTTTCCCGGGGGCTGGACTAACCAGTTTACCACCGGCGCCTCCGAACGTCATGACGATGAAACTGGTGATGGGAATGGGAAGGATGGAGAAGCCATCAAGCAGACAGCTCCCAAGGCTTATGCGCTTGCGCACAGGAATCGTTCTGGCAGCTTTGATACGGGTGCAAATGGCGGTATTAAGCCGACGGGGGTTGGCATTTCGAAAATTCAAACCGACCTCCCAGCAGGCTATTCGGGATACGTTCCTCCCGTTCCCACCTATTCTATTTCACCGTCGGACCCTATTCCCGCCGGGTACGTATCCCATGCCCGTGATGCTTGTGTTGACGTCGATTACCAGTGGGACAGCATGCGCGAACCCCAAAATTGGGGCAATGGGGGCGAATACGGTGAAGAATGGAGCGCTATGCACGATAGATTTCGCAACGGGCTCCAACGTATGATAGACTGGTACAGATCTGACGGTCCAGGAATTTCTAGTACTTCCGACGCGACTAAACAGGAGGGGGCAGGGGAAGAGCAGGAAGATGCTACGGAGACTATTTTAATTCTGATATCTCATGGAGCTGGCTGCAATGCGCTCATTGGTGCACTAACAGGCCAGCCAGTCTTGCTTGATGTTGGCATGACTTCACTAACCATGGCAGTCAGGAAACCTGAAGCCGTAGAGCCGTCTGACCAAGGTACCGCAGCGGTACCCACTTCGTATAGAAAACAACATTCCGGGTTGAAGGAGCTGGCAGACGAGTATGAGATGAAATTCCTTTCCTCAACAGAGCATCTCCGCGCAGGCACCAGCTCCTCGCGCTCATCGTCACCCCTGGACTCTTCTCCGAGGGTACTACCATCCCCGATTTCCTCCTACCGGCATCGGTTTGGATCTACTTCCGGCTCTATCAGCTCGCAGGAAAATTTTGCCATCGGGGATTCTATTATTCGAAAGCCAAGTAACTCAAGAGGGTCAGGCCCGCCATACTCTCGCGCAGCTTCTGCACGAAAGCCATCATCTCCAGGACTTTGGGGCTCTGTGTCACCAACAACATCCGCCGACGCTGCTGAATCAGCGGACGATATCATTCCCAATTTCGAGGATCCAAAACCAAGCGCCGGAGATAATGCCTCGGACGAGACGACTGGCCAACGACCGTCAAGATCGCTCTCCCAGCATGGTCTATGGGGTAGCGTTTCGCTCCCAACGCGCGAGCCGCTGAGCAAACGCCGATGGACAATGACTGAACGGAATCCCTGAGAATAGATTTATTATTTATTCATCTTCTTTATTAAATTATATTGCTTTTTCTTTGGGCACCTACTCACTCCACTTCTCGCTTTTATGTTTGCGCCTGGGGATATATTTCGACACCTACTCGAGCTCAACCCTCAGTATTTGCTTGGTTGTTTACGGCCGCTACTCTATATAGATATATATGGATAATCGGGAAGTACTAAACTGGGGTTTTCCGGGACCTTTTCTTATTTTCCCTTTTCTTATTTTCCCTTTCCTTGTTTGCCTTAATTACTTACTTGCCTTTTCCTCCCTCCTCCCTCTTGTTCTTTTCCCATTTTCCCTAGGTTTGACATTTTCGAGCAGGTGTGATATTCCCAAGTTGATCTCTACTCTGTTTTCCTTTAGCGATGCGTTTATTTGGCTGATGGGAGTTTTATGGGAACTCATGGGGATTACATGATGCTGATTCTTTATTCTTTTTCGTTTCACTTTTTTTCTTTTTTCTTTTCTTTTTCTTTTGTAATCCCTTGGATGATGAATGTGACGCGTTCATGCCACTATGAAATATAACCTATACACATAGCAGTTATGTTAATTTAAAAACCACAATAAATAAGGACTTTTTGGTGGGATGCTGCGGAGGGGCTGTAGCACAGGCCTCTTCAAGTTTAAGGGTAAATATCAACTTTGGTCTGGTTGTATGTCGTTGGGAATGAATTATTTTGCGAATAAATCAATGAATGTGAGGTACATGTACAACTAATCGGAGCCAACAGTTGTAGCTGAAGCGATAGTTAACTAGTTAGTTGGTGTTCGACAAAACAAAGACACGCAAGTAGAATAGAGTGGCGCAGGCAAATCCTTACTCCGGGTAAACATATATTGACCCTCTTTATCTACGCCGCAATAGACCAATTTCTGCAAGCCGTCCTACTAGATAGACTAATAAGCCCTCCCTCCACACCACGCAGAAGCTTCGCCGCGATAGTCTGATTGGACTGACCTAAACCGATAATTAACGTATCATGTCGCCCACCGAAGCGGCGGGGCTCTCGACAACCTACGACTGCGGCCGAACAGGAACGCCAGACCTCCGCCTGCTCCATTTCAACGACGTCTACCATGTCGAGTGAGTACTCGCATTCCTCTTAATTGTCATTATGATTTTGCACATAACCAAACCACAGTAACTAACTCCAATACTACTACTAGAGCCGGCTCTGCAGAGCCCATTGGCGGCACCCCGCGATTCCAGACCCTGGTCAACTACTACCGCAACCACCCCAGATTCGCCGGCCAGCCGCCGCTGCTCACTTTCTTCTCGGGCGATGCTTTCAACCCCAGCCTCGAGAGCTCCGTTACAAAGGGCCGGCACATGGTGCCGTTCCTCAACCAGGCTGGAACTGATGTTGCGTGTGTAGGGGTAAGTGAGCAGCGCTCTATTTAGCAAAACTTCCCCTCCCTTTCTCCCTCCTTCCCTTGGACTTTAACCATAACTTGGATATATTGTGTGGACTAAAGGAATTTACCAATTGACAGAACCACGATCTAGACTTTGGCGTTGAGCAGTTCGAACATCTGAGGAACCAGTGCAAGTTTCCATGGCTGCTGGCGAACATGCTTGACCCCGCATTGGGCGAGGGGGTGCCACTGGCCAACTGTCCCAAGACGCACATGTTGGAGTCCAACGGTATAAAAGTTGGAGTTATTGGACTTGGAGAGAGGGAGTGGTAAGGGGAAAAAAGAAAAATAATCATTGTTCATTATTTAGGTTCGTTCTTGATACAATTTAACTGACACGTAGTCATTTGACAACTTTTATCTTTAGGCTTGATACAGTCAACGCACTCCCTCCTATCATCTATAAGTCGGCGTCGGCAACGGCAAACGAACTAGTCCCCGGCCTGCGCGCACAAGGCGCCGACCTCATCGTCGCCGTGACCCATCAGCGGGAACCGAACGATAATAAATTGGCTAAAAAGACGCCGACAGGTCTCATTGATATAATTCTAGGCGGGCATGACCATTTCTACGGACACAGCATTGTCAAATCGACCCATGTACTCCGCTCGGGCACGGACTTTAAACAACTAAGCTACATCGAAGCATGGCGGAAGACGGACGGTAGCGGCGGCTGGGACTTCTCTATCACACGCCGCGATGTGGTTCGAGCAATACCGGAGGACCCTGCCACAGTCGAACTGGTGGCCAAATTGACTTCAGCACTGAAAGCCAAGCTGCAGAAACCAGTCGGTTATACGGCGAACCCACTGGATGCGCGGTTCACGACGGTGCGGAGGAAGGAGTCCAACCTTGGCAATTTCGTGTGTGACCTTATGCGCTTCCATCACCATGCGGAATGTGCGATGATGGCATCGGGTACTATTCGCGGGGATCAGATATATCCTCCCGGCCCCCTGAGGGTGAAGGATATTCTCAACTGTTTCCCCTTCGAGGACCCAGTGGTGGTGTTGCGTGTGAAGGGGCGGGCGCTGCGAGCCGCGTTGGAAAATGGCGTTTCCGAACTACCGGCCCTCGAAGGGCGGTTTCCCCAGGTGTCAAACATCCAATATGGATATGCACTTTCCGCACCACCTGGATCCCGCATTGCCTTTGTTAAAGTAGGTGGAGAAGATCTTGAAGATGACAGGCTGTACACACTCGCGACTCGCGGTTATATGGCGCGGGGCAAGGATGGGTATACAGCACTTCTTACAGAGTCTGAAGGGGGGGAAGCGGAGGAGATAATCTCTGAGGAAAACGGGGTTTTGATCAGCACAATTCTTCGACAGTATTTTCTCAGCCTGAAAGTACTTGGCACATGGAATCGGTTAGGCCCGAGTCTGCATCGTCACTGGGACTCAGTGAACGAACGCTGGCACGGGCCTGGCTGGATGGAAGCCACCTCTCCGCTCGCCTCCCCAGAAGAGCAGCCCAAGAAACCAATCGTAGACGGTAATGAAACCCCAGAAAAAATTTCCAGTAGCTTTCAATACGAGAGCGCCAATCCACGACATAAAGATGAACCAGGCAAAGCAGCGGATCAGCTCTCACGCGGAGACCAACCAGATGGCTATGACAGTGGCAGCAACGGCAGCACTACTAGCGAGAGTGAGAGCACTATGGATTCTGAATCTGACTCTGAGCCGGAGATCCTCAGCCGACCTCGCAACTATGTAACTACAGCCGCTCGATCTGTCGAAGATGCAGACCACCGCGAGGTAGTGGCTCGACACTTTGTGCGCAAATGGCGAGAGAAGGCCGGGCTTGGTCCTGACAAGGTGCAGCCCGTTGATCACGCCACGAATGGATTTTCGCCAGCGTGGACACGGGCCATTGCGCCGGTGCTGGAAGGGAGAATTGTCCAGATCGATAGGAAGAAAGCCTGAGCGAAGTTAAGTTTTAACCTTGGCACTGAGAGGCCATGCATGGGATGCTGGGTGAAGTAACGAGATCATGATATTCAATTTGGAAAGGGGCCGGCGGCGAACCTGGACATTGGACAGAACGGACTTTATCAAGATTTTCCAAGGGACATGGACCTGTAGCAGAAAAAGAAAGGAAAAAAAAAAGAATAAACATAACGGTGTAAAAAAAGAAAGAAGAAAATAATTAGACACTGGGTCGGCCAGAGTGCTCCAAAGGGCAAGCTAAAACGGCAGGATACGAGTGTGATAGGCGGTTATTGAGGATCGGAGTTCCATCATGGTTTTTTTTGTTTTCGCTTTGTGATTTCCCAGCGTACATCTTGTTTCTTAGATCTCGGGTTGGACTTCATACATCGTAGATAGATTCATGGTGCTAAGTTTACCAAGTTCAACCAGCTGCCGGTTACCAGATCCCTGGATATTCCTGCCGCGCCACTTGACGGATACTCTGCACGTTCGCCATGGTTGAAGAAGAATATGAAGAATAATAGGAACAATAGCAATCATAAATAGCATCTTCAGACTTTTTCCCTCGTTTCCGAGCAGATGGAGATCCCCAACTTCCAAGAACATACCCAGCTAACTAACCAACTAAGGTTTGCGCCGTCCTGCGCCGTCCTGCGCCGCCAGCTGCAGCCCCAGCAGCTGCTCCTCATTGGCATCAGCACAACCTTTCGTGTGTGAGCCAGATGTGTAAATAAAGTTGTGTTGTGCCATGCCGCCTCCTTTGAAAAGTTGGTAAAAAAGGAGGTAACTAATCTGTACGCCGCTACATGTTATCTTGGCCTGCAGATACACAGTGCATACATAGTAGTGCACACATACGGAGTACTGTATATGTAGTTAGCGACTGGACTGGTTGGCCCTAAGCTCACCAACTGACTCGACACCAGCCGAGCTGGCAATGGACGCTGCAAACCCTTTCTTCTGCTGGAGCATGCTAGCAATCTGCCAGGGCGATTGTTGCTCCGAACTTGATCCTAGGCTTCTCCTAGCTAGTCCGCCTATGAAATAGTAGCCCATCGTTTCGGGGCAAACGCCGCCGCTATGACATAACTCTCTCTGGTGGGTGTGGGCTTGTTGGGCGGTCTGAAAAAAAAAAAAAAAAAAAAAAAAAACTAACTTTAATATTCCCCGTCATCGATCTAGGAAAAATAATAATAATAAAGAAGTCCCCGCGCTGCCAAACCAATTCCCAGGTGTCGGGATTCCCTCAGGTTAGCTATAAATTAGTTAGACTTGCAACACCTCGAACTCTGTCCCGCCGCCCGCCACTCATCAGCAAAAACCTATCCCACCGACTGACTCTCTTGCACCCCATCTTCCTGATAAGCAATAGGGCATTAAAACAAAAGAGGCCTCTTTCTTTCTTTGCTTTTGGCTCACTTATGCCATTTTAATTCTAATATTTTCTCCTCGGAGTTTCCGATCTCGCGTGAAATTCGGATCGCACACGGGAACATGGAGGTGGACAGCGAGAGGGTCTCTGACCGCAGCAGGGTCGAGGTTGATGAAGTACGACCTCTCTCTTAACACTCCCCCCAGATTGGTGGGGTTCCTCGTGTCATTAATTTGCACTTGAATGGAATATACGCGCTCTGAACTACGCTTCCAGGAATAGCACTGATATCAGATTGAGCCAGTCTTCTGCAGAAAACAGAGCCACACTGAGTGAGGAACTGTACGCCATCCCTTTTGTTTGTTTCTCCTCTCCGAACTTCCCATCTGTCTCCTTTTGGTATACCCAAAAGAAAGGGAAAAAATAAACCATAATTATATTTTTACGCCGGGGACTTTTTTTTGCTCATCATTGCATGAATCAAGGCTGGACTTTACCGAAAGTCTCCATTCCTCCATCGTCAGTTACGAATGGAAAAATGGCCGACGGTATCGGGAGGGAAGTGCGTAAACCGTTTCCTTCATGTCCTTGACCCCCGCAGCTACTATCCAGGTTTGCCGACGTCTGGAGCTTCGGGGCGCATTCGAATATCTTATATATATATGCATCTATGTATGCATGCAAAGGGTAATATATCTGACAGGCGGTATATACAGACTACAAATTCCCCAACGACGAAAGGGAACAGGATCGGCTCAACCTCATCCATTATGCCATTTACTATCTGTGCGACGAGAGATTTTTCTTGGCACCGATCAACCCGGATGGAAAGAGGATATTAGATATAGGCACGGGAACGGGCAAGTGGCCGATTGAAATGGGTACGGTTGAATGTTCATTGATTACAACTTTGCGGTTGTTATTTATTAAGTTCCACTGTTTACTAACTCCTGCGTGATAATTACTGAAGGGGATTTATATCCATCAGCAGAACTGGTGAGTACTTCCACAAGGCTATCATTTCGGAATTTTGCTGGGAAAAGGACGACCTGTTGAATAAAATGAATTGTTGCATAGACTGGAGTCGATTTGAGCCCGATACAGCCACGATGGTGAGGCACTCCTATTGTTCTTCCATTGTATTTTCTTCTCTATTCATCCAGAGCTAACCCGTGTGTAGGGCGCCGCCGAATGTCAAATTTATAGTCGAGGATCTTGAGCAGGATTGGGTAGAAACGGAATTATACGACTTCATACACTGCCGGTACATGATGGGATCGATCAAAGATTGGCCACGACTGGTGAAGAAGTTTTATGAGTTGAGTTAACCCAATCCCTAACATAAGAGATGTTCTTTTTCCCTAATGAGCGCAATAGACATCTAAAACCCGGCGGCTGGGTCGAATTCAAAGACTCCACAGCCACCGTATTTTCCGAAGACGGCACTGTCACACCCGATTACAAAGTAGTCGAAATGCTTCGGAATCTACGGTTGGCGTCCGAAAAGATAGGCATAAACATGGACCATGCGCCGTTGCTCAAGGGCTGGATGGAACAGGCCGGATTTACCAACATCGAGCAGCGCGTAATGAGGTTACCTATAGGCACGTGGCCGAAGAATAGACGCTTGGTGAGTGCAAAATCTACAACCCTGCCACCGTTCATCTATCTCTCTATATATCTCTCTCTTGTCTCGCGTCTCAATCTGACCCTCCTATTTTCTAACTGTAAATGCTACTGTAGAAACTTATCGGGGCAATGATGGCGTCGCATTATCTCGAGGTGGAGGCCTTCACGCTCATTCCATTTATAGAGATATTGGGCTGGAGTCCGGCGGAGGTTGAGGAACTGAACGCGCAGGTCCGCGCTGCTGTGCAGACGAAGGGAGTCCATCCACTGCATAACTAGTGAGTTCCAAGTTCTTTTTCTCTCTGAATAAACAGCTACCAGTTTTCCTCAGCGTGGTCCAGCGTGTTTTTTGGCTGACATTCACGACAATAGTTACGTGGTTTGGGGTCAAAAACCGGCAATGTAAACGGGATAAACAGAAAAATAAATAAACAAAAGCAAAAAAGAAAAAGAAAAAAGAAAAAAGAAAAAAGAAAACCTCGTGCGCAAAGTTTACAAGCATGCACTTTTACACACACAGAGCTGTCTGACAGCAAGAAGGCCAGCAGTTGCTGAATGAATTTCCTATGTCCTCCGGGGGCTTCCATCTTGTAACGATCGGCGTATATGTGTTGCTGTTTTCACAATAATGGGCACGGTTCGATCACCTTTTTCATTTCACTTCCAGCATATGAGAAGGCGCATTTCGCATTTCACAGCCAGCTTTTTTGGTTTTGGTTTTGGTTTATATTTTCTTCTTGTTTCCCACGTTTATTTTATCCCCTGGTTCTCTTTGGCGACGTTCCGAAAGGGTCTTGGATCTGGACATAATCATAGAGTTCGACACAACCATCCGATGAAAACAAATTGCGCGCGCAAGCTTCTTCGAAAATACGGAATACAGAAATTGAAAAGGAAGGAAGGTAGGAGGGAAGAAAAAAAAGAAATCAATAAAAAGGAAAAATGGTCATTGACTGATCACGGGTGAGAACAGATCCCGACACTCTGTTTCCCTGACGCAAGAACACTAGCCACCGAGTTAACGTTATTTCTCGCCTCGCAGCCTCGCAGGGACAGGCGTTCGGTGCCATCGTCTACGCTGCGTATGACAATAACTAATATTATTAATGATACCAGTGGTTAGGGGTAAGCATTAGCTCGACCTGACTGCTGGCACCACCGAAACCCCCAAGGGCGTGGGTAACTACCTACTGCAGAATTCCAGGGCTAAGGGGAACCGCCGTTGAAAGTTCCAGTATTTAACTCCATAGTATTCAATTATATATATATATAATTTCTAATGACAATGAAGTGAGAAAGAAGGATATACACTTCGTTGCGGCAGAGAAGATATTATTCGGGCCATCAGACCCCATTATTGCAGCACATACCTCACTCCTCTCTCCTCATTCTCTCTAGTCCAGCCTGCCTGTGTCCCAGTATGGTATGAAAGTTACCAAATCAACCGAGGCCGGATCGATCTACTAGGTGTTTTAGCCTAGTTTTCACTGTGCAGCCATGACACTAACGGAAGCAGGCCCTCCTCCGGCCTGATCCTGGTGCAACAGGTCACAAGTGCTAGCAGATAGAAGACTCGACCAGATCGTCTACGTACCACAGTACGGAGTACGGAGTACTCGGGACATGATCATGACATGGCCAAAACCGGCCGGGCTGGTCACTCATACGCTGTATGCGTCGTCCACTATTTTGTTTAGACGGCCCACTTGGCACTGGTGAGCGGGATGTAACTAGTGTACATGTACTCCGTACTGTACATACATGTTCCGTAACCATAGATGGGGTCATTCATTTTTCATCGCAGTTCGAGTCGGTGTGTTGATGCTAGAGTTAAAGTACCGGCAGGGCCTAGGCAGAACGCCCTGGTACGCCCTGGTTACATGGTAAACTGCTGGCGGTCGTTACTGCTGGATGTATCTATCCATGAAACATCCACGATTTGACAGAACCTGGCCGACTTGGCCGATGCAGCTGGCGGTCCGGTCCCCCGTCGACCGGCACTACTGGGCGGGATATTCTAATATTGAAGACGTTCTGGTGTTGAACCGGCTTCTTGCTTCCAAACTGCTGGGTGGTGTCTTCCAGCCTCGATCCTGTCTACCCTGCAGTTCTCACTAACGAAGCTAAACACGCTCTTAAATCTAGCTGTGGTTGGTTCGGGGGTGGTCTAGGAAAGGAGGAGGGGGTTGAAACTTCCAGACCGCGGGGAGCAAAATGCACAGGCGGATGTTACGGTGCCAGTATCCCGGGAATAGCAGCACGTCTCATATCGGCTGCATATCTATAGTCGCCTTTGGACGCTTGGTCATAACAACCTAATAACAGCTACAGAGCTAGCGCACTGAGAACTGTTATGACTAGGGATTCGGCGATTGGATCGCCAGTGGCTGTTAATTAACTAGTGGTTATTTCAACTCCGCAGTTCACGTTTCTTATCATCCAGAGTACATAATCCCACAGGATCTCCTCATCACAGCGTCGATCTTGAGCAAGCGGCAGTCTTCAGACGGGCGGATATCCTGAGCCTGGATCCCGGCGCAACGGCAAGGCCCATCCCTCATGTATTTATCTCCCTTGGACCCTTGCCAATGCTAATGTCCCCCATCACTCCAATTCGCCAGGGGTTTAGTGCTACAGGGCAGGATGCGGAAGTATTTCGCAACCTGACGGATGGAGCACACTGAGATGTCTATGTTAACGACCGTGATATTCAACCGTGATATGCACGATAAGTTTACGCTGTAAGGATTTATTTCCCAGGTCCCATCGCCATGGAGGACCGCTGGAAGATGGCGCGTGTTATGGTACTCCCATTCGCGACCATGAAGGGCTGAAAATTTCCCGAGGCCGGCCGAAATGAATACCTGGGGGTTATTTGCAGTGTGCCATCAAAGGTTTCTATAGCTCTGTACTTACGGCCGGTTTCCAGGGAGGCCTTTCCACACACGGGGTATTGAGGTAATGAAGGGCTATTAATTCAGATCTATCAGGGAACGCCGAGGTATTATTGGCACAGTCTTTCAATTCAGCTCCAGGCATTTTGCGATTATGTGGTGCAAAATACATCATGTCAGCTTATCCTCATCAACTCTGTGCCGTGTGGATTGAGGGCTTCAGAGACTAAGGCCTTCCTACTATTTTCCAAAAAGCGAATATCCCTCCATCCACCATCAAAAATGAATATTTGTAGTAAAAGCAGAGCAGGAAGTGCTAATAACGACCAACAATGATTTTAACGGGAGGGTTAGTACGGTAGACTGGAGTATCAACTTAGCCCAAAACCTAGTGAGTGACGGATCGCAATTTTCAGGGTGAAGCAGCTCTCAGATCCTTTTCTTCCTGGTAGTTTGGATTCCTGTACGTTGAATGATGGAGACCTGTCTGTGGAAGACTGGTACATTTGCATATGATAAAGTCCCGGGTTGGTGATCATGGCCATGGTTTTGCTTCCATTGATGGGAATGCGCGTTTCGCTGTCCAAGTCTGGGGTGTTGTGATACTAGGTATGTTTCATTGATGGCAATCTTTTTCTTTCTTTCTATCTTTCTTTTTCTTCTTTCTCTTTTCAATTCTCTCATCTTTTCTTTCCAAAGATTGATCTGGTCTATCATAAGTCTCTGTGTCCTGATGAGATAATCAGATTCAGAGCAAGTATCTCAAGATCATCTATCAGTTTCTATATTTCTCTCAATACTGTTTAGACTGAATACTGTTGTGATTTAAGTTACTGACACTGATAGCTATAGCCGGATACAGTAATCCATTTCTTTTCCACATGAAGGTTCCATCCACGACTGTACAGTGTATCATCAATCAGTTGACTTCACCTGGGATGAGGAGAATATGACTCGACTTTAGAGTAATACCAATAATAGGGTTATATTTTGAATGGTGTAGTAACAACCCGGAGCTCAAGCGGCATATAAGCCAGCTCTTGCAAACGGTCAATGATCATGGATGTGCATGTCGCTGCTTTGGAATTGCGTAATAAGGAAATCCATATATGAAACAGGCAATGTATCCTGTCGAAGTTGAAGTTTTGAGGGAGACAGCATGTTAAGCTTGACTTCAAGTAGAAGTAAAAATCTATCGTTAGACATTAAATAGAGCGAAGTGTGCATCAGCACTAGAGCTCTGACTCACGTCATTTTTGCCACAACAGAGTCACCTGGGCCAGTTAATAATAAATAAGCGAGCCATGAACTTGCTATTAAACACGAGCTTGAACCACGGACAGGCACGATTCGTTGAATGTTGTTGCTGGTGATTATCACGTGGATAAGATCTCCAGTCACGTGGTGGCGCTATCCTAACCTTGGAAAAAAAAATTGCCAAGAAAAAAACAAAATCCCGAGCGCTCGAGCTGGTGGTAACTAACTACGAAAGAATAACCAACTGCTATACAGGTCTCGAAGGCGCTGGCAGCCCACTGGAGATCGCTGGAAACGGAATATTGACCTGCTATTAAATTGCCATGGCTATCGACATTGAGACACCATCTGCTCCCGCGCAGTCCCTCTCAAGCTCATTGGAAACCCTCACAACCAGCCTTTCAAGCGCACTTTCCTCTCTCCCAACCTCCGAGCCACACGGTGATGTCCCGGTAAATAATGCGTCTATATTGCCCCCGCCCGATGGCATCTCACTTCTTGACACAAAGAACGAAATATTCCTTTCCTATCTGCAAAATCTAGTTTTTGTGGTGGTTCTACAACTGAGGAATCTGTCCAAGAGTAGATCGTCAGACAAAACGAATGGCACAGGACAAGGGAGTGGCGAGGATGCATCCCTGCATAAAAATGCTGTGAAAAAATTGACAGAGCTACGGCTATTCTTAGAGCGTGGTGTGCGACCATTGGAAGGCCGCCTAAAATACCAGGTTGATAAGGTGCTAAAGGCAGCAGAAGACGCAGAGAGAAATCAACAAGACGCCGCATCGAAGCCAAAGAAATCCCGGAAGGGAACAACGGAACTGGGGGAAGGAAGTGATGGTGGAAGCCGAAGCGAAAGCGAAACTGGATCAGGAAGTGACTCTGACGGTTCTGAGGACAGCGAGGACGAAGACGAAGATGTTAATGAGTTGGCATACCGACCTAACTTGGCCGCTTTTTCGCGTGGAACTCAAGATCAGGAAAAGTCCAAAGCACCGAGTAGGAAAGACACTGGCGATGGTATCTATCGGCCGCCAAAGATAAAACCCACAGCGCTCCTCACTACGACACCGGATAGCCGCGAGGAGAAACGTGGCCGCCGCACCGCCAAATCCGCCGTCATTGACGAATTCGTCTCTGCTGAGATGTCCAGCGCACCCACTGCAGAGCCTAGCATTGGCACAACGATCCGGGCTGGAGGAAGAACAATGCGGTCCGAGCGGGAGAGAGCACAGGAACTTGAGCGACGAACGTATGAAGAAGGCAACTTCGTGCGGTTGCCGAAGGAGAGTAAGAAGGAACGGGCGAAGCGTGGAGGGAACCGTCCTGGGGGCTATGGCGGCGAAGATTGGCGAAGCCTGGGTGAGGGGGCCGATAGGATCGAACGACTCACGCGGCGTGGTAGAGAGGGTGGCAGAAGCACTGTCCTGGAGAAGAGCCGGAAAAGACGGGCTACGGAGGATGGGCCGCGGGGCGATGGAATCAATATAGGCGAGAATTTCGAGAAGCGCCGCAAAAAGATAGCGACATGGAAGCGGTAAAGCTTACATCTTGTCTATCTATTATTTGAATATCTCTATTTTTCTCGCAAGTGGAGCTGGTCTGTCTACGATAATAATTGAGTATCCACTTGCATGCTCTGGGTCCTAAATAGGCGTTTTCCGGACGCTGCTTAAATCACAACATAACCCATCTGTGCTGAAACCGCAGATTGGTCATCCCCCACTCTTCACGCGGCGCTCATGAATGGCTGATTCACACCATGGTGTATGGATAATGAGAGATGGCAGTGACTTTGTGAGGCGGTTGCTGTCTAAGCAATCAAGATTAAAGACGAGCCATAGGTGGAACCAGGGCGAGGATATTTCAATGGTTAGTTGTGTTCTCCGCTACGAGTCATATGTAGGAGCGTAATTAATAGATCTCTCGTCATGTGTTTCCGCGGTTTGCTGGCTTCCCTATTTCCCACCAGTCTTCTCGCTACTTCACTGACATCCGGTTCTCCTGACGTGAAATCTATATGGCTCGTTAATTCTGGGCCTCTGTCGCAAATTCTTGTAGACTCGCTTTCAGCGCGGGTGTTATCTCTCGTGGGGTTTGTCACAAATTAAGGTTAACTATTAAGGTTATCTGGTGGGTCCGTAGGGCTGGCCAGGATTTCCTAATACAGAAAGTGTGGGTCAGGAGCAATGACGTCATCTACCAAATTACACGTACCCGTAAGGTCAGAAACGCGGATGTTACTATACCAATCTACCCAGTATCTGTTGCCATTCTCCGTTCATATAATGTATATAGTTTCCCACAATGGAAGACCCAGGTAAGGCATTTCGTTTCTCTCAACTCGCCAAACAGCTCCCGTTTCTAAACAAGCCTTCTCGATTCTTCAACAGTGGCTGAGTGTCGGATTGAGTGTCACGGATGAATATGTTGAAGACATATGAATCTTATATGTATCAAGATCTGCTTGTTATATTATCCATACACTATCTAATATATCTATTTCATACAAAAGATAGAGCTATTTATAGTAAAATATATGTGCAAGCTAAGAGAGTTAGTATAAGCAAGTATTAGATAAGTATTATAGTAAGCTGATAATGATGAGAAATATTATAGTAATACAATATTGATGATATTCAGTAGTATATAATCTCTTTTTCCTGACACATTCTCTTCAGCAAATATAACATGTAAATGAAAGTGTTAATGAAGCTGTAATAAAAAGAGTGTAGATAAATCTGCAAAGATTATATTAAGATAGATTATTTATTCTGCTTATATCTTGATAATATCTGATATATTAACTAGGCTTAGCATCTTGATAAATTCTGTATATTTCTGGCATGACAGAGTCTTAGTAAGGTCATTCACTAGCATCTGAGTCATGAACACTCAATCAACTGTAATATCACTGAATTAAATATATTCTCAGAGTCAGCTTTTATATATATCAATATAGTAAAGCTTTGTAATTATAGAGAAATCTTTCTTCATAAGAATATTAATAGTTTAACAGTTATTATATTGAATATAAATCTTATGATCAGATTTAAATTAAATATATTAAAAGAATCTATCTCATCAGATAGACTTTATATCAGCTTATAAGATAGTAACAAGCTCAGCTTCAGTGATAGAGATAGTTATAATTATCTATTTATTTAATTTTCAATCAACAGTCTCACTGAATAGTTTGAAGATATATTCTTATATAGAGCAGTGATTCAGATTATCTGTGAAAGAGATATCACTGATAGCTTTAATAATATCAGATTTGAGATTAAGTTATAAAGATCTGTTAATATTATTATTATATTGAATAATAAGATTTCTTATATTATATAGATAAGATATTATTCTATTCATCTCTAATAAGTAATATTCTGATGAAGTTATTATAAATATAGCTAGTTTATTCACTGTATATATAATATCAAAGTAAGTTATTATCACAGAGTAGATATAGAAGTTAATATATTATTAATAATAATGAATTTTTACAGATATGACTGATTTATTAAAAGACTTTAACAGAGTATCAGTTAGTAAGATATAAATCTTATAAGTATATATAAAATGATATGTATTAACTATCTTATTAATATAGATATTCTGATATAGTCAGAGCTTTAAGTTGAGATAATTATATATTATTCATATATTAAGAAATCATTTCAAATCTCTCATCTATTAGATTTTATAGACATTTTTAAGATCTTTGATTAATTAATCTCTTTCTTTTAAATCTTCTTATTGTGATAGAATGATGATATTATTTATATAGAAGAAGATAATTAATCAATTATTAAAGAAGAGATATTAATTATTTAATATAGAGATAAAGTCTAGTATTCTTAATATTAAAGATAGTTTATTTAATCAGAGAAGAAGTGATCTGTATAATTTATATAGTACTTATAGAAGTTTTAGTATATAATTTATATACTTCAAATTTTACATCTTCTTCAACTTTCATCATTCATTAGATAGTTTTATATATACTAGCTTATTAATATCACTATTAATGAAGATATTAATTTTATCTAACTATTTCATATCTAGATTAAATACTGCTATTAGAGTTAATAAGATTCAGAGATTTCTGATAGCTAGTGTATAAGCTTTTATAGTGAGATCTGTGATTAATTGAAGATCTTTATATATATAGATATAAGCTTTGTATTTTAAAAGAAAATCTTCATTATCAAATTTGTAGATAAATACTTATTATAGAGAAATAACTGAGATATCTCTCTGTAATCTGCTAGTAATTTTATATATATTCTGTAGAGATATACTATTTCATTCTTACTTAACAGTATTCTTGAATTCTTTGTAATATGAGTGTTTTTTAATATCTGTTCAGTGATTCAGTAAATCTGACAGTTGAGATCTATAAATTCTTGAAATCAGTATAAATGCTGTTGATATAGATATATTATTGATAACTGTGAAAACAGTATTTAAAAATAAATTTTAAGACTTATAGAAGTCTGAGTGTGAATGAGAGAATATCTTATTAATTATTTAACAAGAATTGTCTTTGACATTTGTAACTATTATAAGATAAGTAGCTCTGCATTTTCATGTTCTGCAGTCTTCAATAATATTAGCTTTATCAAAGTCAGTACTGATATTATAAGCTCTAGATACAATATTCTGTATATAATTATCTATCACAGCTGAATAAGTATTAATATCAACATTGAGATCTGTTAGCTCTGGCATTGAATCTAGTGTAGAAGGAATTAAAATATTATAATAATTATACTCATTATTTTTCTTCTCTATTTTTTCAGAGTTTTAAGCATTTTCTTCAGAGTGAAAAATATTAATATCTGCAGTATCTATAATCTCATCTAATTGATTGATAGAAGTAGCTATTATCAATAATTCTTGAACTTTCATATTTAGAAGCTTCATCTTCTTAGATACTCAATCTCTTAGTTATCTTTCAATATAGAGATCTTCAGAGTTGAATTTTCTATTCTTATCAAATATTACATCTCTTGCTCTTATCATCTATTTTAAGAGTGAAATTCAAATTCAATAGATGTTTATAGAATCATATTCAACTAGATATTTAATATAAGCTTGAGAATCTAGCTTCTGAGAGTGATTTCTATTAAGAACTTCATTCAGTATCTTTGCATAGATGTGATATCTCTAGATTTATAGATAAGTACAGAAGTGAGATTTAATCTGTAGAAATTCTTTCAATACTTATAGAGATGACTTTCAATCTAGAATTCTAGTAGAGATTTGATTTGTAAGATAGATAGCAGTAAGTGAAATTTCAGAGAAAAGTGATTATGACAGAAGAGATTCTATTTATAGAGTTCTTATCTTTGTTATTAATATTACTTCTACTCACTCTGCTACATCATTTTACTTATAAATATACTCTGAAGAATACTTCATCTCTAGATCTTTATTATTCACTTAATTTATGAAGTCATCTGTATTCTTGACTGCAGTATTATTATCAATACAAATGATCTTTGTTGTGGCGGGCTGCGCCCGATCAATCATATAGACTATTCCGTTACACTTCACAGATTCCTACCACTCCGATTCTCGGTCGCTGATCCTCGGCTGAAAACCTATAGAATTTCTATTCTTCCACCCCGAAGCTCCACTGTGTACAAAAACCCCTATTCTTCCACCCCGAAGTTTCACTGTGTAGATCACCATGTACATGTATAAATATTCACTTCAATCACTGATTCTCACACTTTCTCTTTCTTCCCTTCTCTAACATTTTTCTCTTTGTTATATAAGACCTATATATTATATCAATCTATTCAGTGTAGACTTCTTACACTAGAAAAATATTCATCATCTTCTTATTAGAAATGATTATTCATCAAGAGATATTCAAACATGTAATAACATGTAGAAAAGAGAAATAGTTAAGCAGACACTGAGTTCTCAGATAGAAGCTAGCTCATCAGTCACTCTGATTCATAAGAAGATTTTACAAGAGAATATCAGTAAAAGACCTAAGAGTTCTGACACTCAGACATATAAGATATTCATACAATTACACTTCTTCAGATTTCACAGATATTATACATCTGATAAACAATATAATCATGTCTAATGATAATATAAGAGAACTCTCAAGTATGAGTATAGAAGTAATATCACAGTGACTCTAAGCAATGTTGAAATTACAACAGTAATAGATAGCAGACATGCATACAACTTAACAACTTTAATACAAAAAGATTCAATAATTAACTGAATAAAGAACTTATGTAATTTCAACATCTACAGAATCAAATATAAAAGTGCTGAAAGAATGCTTAGATACTTCTATATATTTCAATACTTTCAATCTCACTCTCTACTTATTATGAAGAATGGAAATGCTTATAAAACTGAGTGTAGATAAAAATATCATCAATTTATTAATCAATCAAGATTAATATATCAATGAATAATTGAAGAATTATATAAAATAGAAGTTTCATTCATGAATGAAAGCATGTGAATCAGTATTGTAAATATCTGATAATATTATAAAACATCTTGATATTCTGTTCTGAGACACTATCATATAACAGAAGATGTTAGATTGATTACAGAGTATTTAATAGAGAAATACTTCTCTTACAATATTCATTTCTGACTTTGACATTAAGATCTTAGAAGCAGGTGATCAATCTTGAAAGAATTGAATGAAGATTAGCATGCTCAAGAAGATATTAACTTTCAAACTCTTACAGACTCTTATAAGTATAAATAAAGACTCAACTTATAAAGGCTTCTGCACACAGCTTCAAACATTGAATGATCATCTTATCAAGCTCAAGAGTATACAGAACAGTGACAGAAGACATTATATCTCAGCTACTCATACACTCACACTGAAGAGAAGTAACAGCAATGACACAGATATCATGAACTGAATAGATTCAAATATCTATACACAAGCAAGAGTTTCTGCTGTTTAAACAGGCTTTCAAGTCCCTGAGATTACTTTCAAAGAAGTCGCTGATCAATGTCAATATAAAGTATATATCAACTGTAACTGATCAGAACACATTGCTTTCAACTGTCAATTAATCTATGTGCCTTCTCACTTAAGAGAAAGATCAGTGTCTTCTCATTCAAAGAATGAATCAGTGCCTGTCTGTGTCAATCACATTACATTAGAGAAGGATTTGAAAGATAACTATGAGAATACTCTGATGAAACAGAGAAAAGATTAGCTTCTGTTCAAATTCACAAGCAGAAGCTTGAAGAGATTAAATAATAATAATTTGAAGAGAAAATGATAATGAATGTGATTCTTATATCTACTGTAATAGATAATATGTATAATATGAAAGCCATGATAGACAGCAGTCTATGCTATTACACAATGATTAAATCTTCAATTATAAGACATTA